GATGTGGCTGGTTCATGAATTGCAGAAGGCGCCATCCTGAACGCAGCAGCTCCTCGCCAGTGACTGGTAGTCCAATGTGTACTTCTTGGTTCGTTGGCTGGATGAGTTTGGTGCGCTCTTTTCACGTCGACAGAACCCGAATGTATTTATCTATTCCTCGTCCTCAAATGATCACCCCCGCCCCCAGATCGTACATGATGACGGAGTGTGCTGGGCAGGACCGTGATTCGATACTCGGACTTCTCTGAGTTCAATGCTTGCCTGCTCTGAGCCAACACGGGCGCGAGGCTGGTGGCTCGCGGGGCCAAGGCTGTCTGAAAACCGGCCCCGAAAGGTATTAACAAAGGCCGCTCAGATCTCACCCCGCCGTGCCGCTTTTACAACCACTGAGCTCACCAAGCCCCCCCTTTTGGCAGGTCTCTAGCCTAACTGGCTCCCCGCCTATATCAATCCTCGTCGTAACTCCAGATAAACGGAGCAGATATCTCAACCTATCAATCTACCCATTTACCTAACGGATTCAAACAAAACCAGCCATAGGAATCCAGATGGCTGGGCGCGAGCGCGAGCTTGTCTCTGACTACTTAAGGTCCTCAGTTTCCTTTGCCAGCACCATTGGAGCTTCAGACTGCCGGAGACATATAATCAGGACACTTACCCTCACGCTAGCACTCGGGACTTAGGCTATTAGATGTCCTCTTTCCTCATTAAAAAGACAAGAAAGCTCTCTGACTATAGAGACTCTTTACAAATATTGTGGTAACTACGAACAGGGACAAAATGTCAAGAATGTCTCCAAGATGAGACACATCAGGCCGTAAATTCACTTTTTCTTACGATTGTCTCACCCCAGGCCATTATTTGCTCTTTGTAAAACGGCACGCATCCGTGATACAACAATAACTACGATCATTTCTAGCGAGAAATTATTGAAAGAACTGTCTGCGGTTGTTACAGCATGACGGGAGCAGGGGGTCCGGAACCTCCTGTCATGGACCCTGAGCTCATAAACCGAATGGCCCGTGTGGGAGAGAAGATTACTGGCGAATATGGGGGATTTTTACTGCAACACGCAAAAATGGATCAGCTCCCGGCGGCTAGTGATGGGAAAGATGTTGCGGAACTTGTCATCCTCGACGAAGCCTGTGGAACGGGCGCAATCAGCTCGCGGCTACTCCACATGTTTGACGACAAAACCAGGGCGATGACTGACCTCACAATGTTGGACATTACTAAGCCACCGCTTGAATATGCTGAGCGGCGAATTCAACGAGAAGGATATAACTTGAAAGCTTTCCGAACACTCCAGGGAGATGCAACGGACACGAAACTGCCTTCTTCTCATTTTACACATATCTTCCTCGCCTTTGGGCCCATGATGTTCAACGATTGGCGAGCGGCTTTACGCGAGATCTATCGTATGTTACGCCCAGGCGGACTCGTTGCCATGTCTACCTGGGGTGACGGCGGCTGGCTGCCTGATGTCCGCGCGGCGCTAGCTAGCGACCCATCTTTACCTCAGGCACCGAGCGCAAAGGAGCTACTAGAAGCGTTCAGCCCCGGCAGTGACTGGAGCGAGCCGAAGTGGATAAAAGGCACGCTACAGGGGTTTGAATTCGAGGATATCCAAATCGAAACGAAGCCGAGAACGGGTACGTTAGACGGAATGGACGAGTTTATGATCACAGTCCCCCTGACTTTAGGCAATGTCATTGAAAAATGCTGGTCTCAGGAGCAAGCTGAGGCCCACGGTGAGCGAGCAAAAGAGACGTTGGTCAAGCATGTCACACAGAAGTACGGATCGGGTGAAATAAAATGGGGCTGGGTTGCCCATCTGGTGACAGCGAGGAAGCCAGTGATAGCGAATTGAAATGGGTTCAGCCTGAACTAAAGGGCACACACGCAAACGAGACGTCGGGCTTATAACTAAGCGTAAATGTTGAGAAATTGAAGTTGATTCAACACTACGGTTAAACGAAGGCCTGAAGGGTCCAAAATGGATAATGAGACACTGATGGCGAAATCATTTTCTATGATAATATTTTAGTCTAATGTCCTATCGTACGCAAAGGATAGTTGCTCTACTACCTCCCTCGCCTCTCTTGCCTTCTACATCTCCTTTGCTGGCGCCCCGGGTCGCTTTCGAGGTACACCACTGTCGAAAAAGGGCTGTCAAATCGGTAGATTGGGCGAGTCAAGTCGAATCCAGAGTCGCTTTTCGGACTGAGGAATATATGTTGTTCGCATATCCAACAGATCTTCTACGCGACAATACCTATGTCATGGTTTAATATTGGATAAGCCGCTCTCATGCTCTGTGGAGCACGAGAGGAAGTTGCCCCGTCCTCAGTTTCTTTGACTCGGATGTTCATGCATGAGTTTTGAGGACCTTAAGGCACAAAAAGTGGACGCCCTCGGTCACGTTAGGATCGACCGTCGAATGCACACGACCACACCAAATCTGCCTTTTGATTCTGCTGGCGAGATCAGAGCCTCCGTGTACGTTTCTATTATATTGCATTTCCGTAGTTCAATACGAAGATGGTTTACGACGTGGCCATTATCGGCTCAGGCCCCTGCGGGCTGGCCGTGGCGGCTCGATTACGAGAATCCACTCCTTCTGCGCTCTTTACCGACGACGAGCATTCCAGATACTGGCGGAGATTCAATCGGCGCGAGACGATTGAAAACGAACATAAGTCCCAGCGAAGGGCGATCCGGTCGAACTTGAACGGCAACCCTGCCTCTTCCAGATCGATCGTTGTGCTTGATGCTCTTTCCGACGAGTGGATGTGCGCATGGCAAGAGAGATTTCGCAGGTTGCAGATCGACCACCTTCGAAGTCCGCTGTTCTTCCACCCAGATCCGAGGGATAGAGATTCTCTGTTAGCCTTTTCACATCTCCACTGCCGGACAGACGAGTTGCAAGAAATCCCCAACGTGGCCGGCAAAGAAATCAGTAAGCACCGAGTCAAGAAGAAGCGTCAGAGGTAAGCGCCGGGCAGGGCAAGTAGTGACGTAACTTTGCTGGTGCTGATATTTCTCAAGAAGGAACACGCTCCACCTCCGCATTGACGACCGAGACCGAATAGACTATTTCACGCCTTCGGCTGCGCTCTTCCATGATTTTTGCGATGACATTGTGGACAGATACGGGCTTCGAAACCTGGTCGTGAGAGCAAAAGTCGAAAATATCGAGTACGGCGATCTGGGCGGGTTGATTAGCGCTGAAGGATTTACCTTGACCACTGACCAGGGGGCAATCTTCTCCAGGATTGTGGTTCTCGCCGTCGGACCTGGCTGCAAGCCTTGCATTCCCATCGACAGCAACCTCCAGCTGGGCGCGGAGCCGGGAAGCGTTTGCCACTGCTTCGACACTGCAAGCCAGCACTGCCTGCCGGAGCATGTTCTGCGCAAGATCAATCAAGGACTGTCAACCTCGATCGTGGTGGTTGGGGGTGGACTTACGAGCGCTCAAATTGCCGATCTCATCATTTCTCGTGGCGTCACCAAGGTGTGGCTGCTGCTCAGGGGAAATTACAAGTTGAAGCATTTCGACGTCGACCTTGAATGGGTGTCGAAAGTGCGCAATCAGCAAATGTCGGTTTTCTGGTCGGCAGATAGTGATCAAGGTAAGTCGGGCACCTGAAAAGAGAGAGTATCTGTCACTGATTTTCCGATAGAGCGCTTCGAGCTGCTCAAGGAAGCTCGAAACGGAGGCAGTATAACACCAAAGTTCGACAAGATTCTTGAAAGGCACGTTGTCAATGGTCGTCTGGCTATCATGACTCATACGCGTATTGAAAACGGGATCTGGTGCGGTGAGAGCCAGACATGGTCAATCGGATTGTCGCCTGCATCAGAGAACGCCACGTTGTGTGTTGATCATATCATCTATGCTACAGGAGCACCTGCGAATATTGAGAAAGTGCCCTGTATACAGCAAATGCTGGATGAATACCCAGTTGAGTCCATTAACGGACTACCCAGACTTACCGACGACTTGATGTGGCACAAAGATGTCCCATTGTTCTTGACGGGCGGTCTTGCCGCCCTGAGGCTCGGCCCTGGCGCCGCCAACCTAGCTGGAGCACGACAAGGAGCTGAAAGGATTGCTTGGAAGATCGAGGACTTGCTGGGTAAAGGACAGACACCGTTGCCTGACGAACAGGGCTCAGTCGTCGACAAGTTGGGTGACAGCCGGCTTGAAGAGCGAGATATTAGATTGATGGTCGAAGAGAGGAGTGAATACACAGGAGGTTTTGTTAATCAATTTGAGGCCTTGACGCTGAGCAGAGGTGGGTGACGCCGGATTTTCTCTCTGACGATGACTTCGAACGTGCACGTCAGATTTTGGCAAGGAACAAAGGACGGCGCAGAAAATTATTTGAAGATTTGGATATATCCAAGGCCGTCTTTGGAAGGCTTGGCTCAGCTTAGGCCGTGCGTATGCAGTCAAGTGCATTATAAAAGCTCGTTGAAGAGAATGACAATGGAAAGAAATGTGGAACAATACTTGAGCCTAGAAGCACAAACAGTTTCACCCCTGTGAGCCCCTAGCGTGAGCTCCATCGCAGAAAGTGAGCACAGGGCGGTAGCACCCTCGTCCCAATCTGGAGTGAAATGCGAACTGTTTCCACTCATCTTGGCCCTTAGCTATCTAACCGAAGAAGTAGAAGGGTCAGCCAGCACTGTTTTCTGTCGAGAGCGGCTCGGGCACTTGGTGCAAAGGCCGACAGGCGGGCACGAGGCTGAACACCATCAGGGTCCGCAAGCACCCAGCAGCGCTTCCCCTCTTGCTGGGACTCCGCAAAAGTCGCTCGGGCCGAGAAGACAAGTATTACTGTGTTTCGGCCAAATTGGATTTCCCACCGACTTTCTCAGCTGACCAAATTGAAGCTGAGCACTGCTTTCCATAGTCGGCTTGTCACTTGCAGATATCATATTTTATTCTCGTATTGTTGTGAGGGATCCACCTTTTCGGGCCTTGCCGGGTTCCCTTACAAAGCGCTGGCTATTTCCATGAGATTAGGTGTAAAGTTGTCGGTTATATCGATCGATGAGAAGAAATTCCACGAATCCATATCGAACTCTAGAGCGTCGAACGGGTTCCCCTGCGCCGCACGAGAACGCTGTCAGAAGATTTCAAATACGTAGGCATAAAACTTAGCCTCTTACCAATTCACAAGGTTCCAGTGGCTCGAGGGCCTCTCCTCTCCCGCTTTCATTTGGTCTCGAGCAGTCAAGTGTAGCACCGGAAGCTTGAGGAGTTGCAGGCACTGTCGTCAGATTGACTCTATCTGTGCTTTTCACACCTTTGACGGCTTTTGCACAGAGAGCCGCAGATTCTCGTGGAAAATGGAAAGCAATTTCCGACCCGGTGATATGCTCGACATGGCCGAAATGACCAGCGCAGATGTCCATGAGTGCGAGGTCACCAACTGCATTCGGTGCCGTGGGATACATGAGCGTATGAACAAAAAGATTGATATGGGCGTAGATGGGAAAATAGAACGCCAACCACGCAGGGACTGCGGCGTCCGTCGTCAACTTGCGCAGCATAAGGATGATTTGTCGAGCTGCATTTGCCACAATTTCCGAGGAGGCGGTAATCTGTTCTTGGAAGGAGGGGTCTGCGTCGGTGCCAAAGCGTGCGGATATCCAGGGATAGAACAGAATAGAATGGGTTGCCATAAAGCTCCCGAAAATGGCGCAGTGTAGGTACATCATAGGGATCTGCCGTTGTGCAGACATGCAATCATGCGTGCTGACCGATGTCCCTATTCTGAGTTCTGGAGGAATAGATTCCAGTAACTTCTCCAGCTGACTGTGGATGTCGTGAATGGTCTCTATGATCTGAGTGGAGGACTGTCCAAAGGCCTTTACAGACATGATTCGACTGGAAACCTGGGCGGAGATCCTGGCGTTCTGGATTATCAAGGTGAATATGCCGACGTCCATTGAACTGCCAGGAGGCGCCTTTGTTGGGATTGGAGTACTTATATTGTTGTCGTCAATAAGTGAGGGTCGGCCGCTTCTGAATGCTATCTGCTTCTCTAAACAGTAGATTGTCCACCACAGCCAGCTTCGGCTGAGCGAATCTGACTCGGACAAGGCCCAGGATTTCGATGGTGCTCGGTGGAGACCTCTGGCCTGTGCGAGCTGCACCGCATTGCTGCACAGGGGGAACTCAATAGCAGCATTCCCCAGTCCTTCGGCATAGAATGTCTGTTTGGATTCCTTTCAGACAAGTGCTCCATGGGAGAAGGAGTGACGCACCATTAGAACTAATGCCTGAATTGCTGTGAAGCCCGAATGGCCAAAGATGATTTCACCAAAGGCCGACAAGGCATTATGGAAGTAAGGTTTTGCTTGGGCTTCTGCTTCAACAAAAGACACATTGTCGTCTGGCGCCAGCATGCAACGACAGCCTAATGCGTAAACGACATTCCGCAAGGCAAACCATGACGGATCCTCGACCTGAGAAGCCCCTTGGTTGTCAAACTGAGCTTCCAGACGCGCCTTGAACTTTGGTCCATGGAGAACCCCAAAAACAGCGTCGTAGGAATGATCGAAATACGCTTTTGACCAACATAAGCGATGGGACTGTTTAGTCTTTGGAGGAGGCCCTCACCTTGAACATACCTGAAAGCTGTCGCTCTATCGGGGTCGGGCACCCTGTTGGCTCTAAAGGGTTGAAATCTCGGCATTTTGAGTCGCCGACTCCACGTCTTGATGAGGCTATTTCCTATATCGACGAATTCATCCGTCCGGGTTCTTTCACAAACCCATTTCAGGCCTGGTTGAGAACAGACAGACGCCCAGGAATGCGGGCCATGGTGCTCATAGTTGACTTTGTGGAGAGGAATTACCTCGTCCTCAACGATGGCTGGCGCTTCTTCTGGCCGGGACGTACTTGCTGACTGCACTTCTGGTTCAAGTGCCGATGAAAGAGTCATCCTCTCGGTCAGATCGATAGCTGGGGCGGGGCTATTGCCCTGGGTCACACCGGTAGAGTGAGTGGTCGAAATGCGATTGATATCTGGGACCAAAGCCCGGTGAAATTGAGTCCTCGAGAAGTCGCTGACATCTTGGTTCTCGCCCTGCGTAGTGCCTCGGGGTCGTTTCCCACGCCTCGATGCTGGGTACAAGCAAACTCTGCCGTGGCGTTCGCAATTCTTGCAGGGTGAGCTTCTATTGCATTTCACTTTTCTTTCGCGACAGTTGGTGCAGGCTGTTGCGAGCCGCACTCCCTCTGTTGAAAACAGCATTCTGGAAGCGCTTGCTTCCAGGCTCTCATCGCTCACTGGAATTTCGGGTATGGGATAATTTGCGCAACAGTTGAACAGTGATTTAGTTGGTATCTGGCGTTGAATCTGTGCGTTGATATGGGGGAATTTTACCTCCTACGTACGGAGTAGTTGTGGAGATTAACCCCGCGGGGCCTGAAATTTGCTACCCCAGTACGATGGCAGGCCTAAATACAGGGGGGCTATGTACGAGCCCAGATCATATCGTGTCCGTGATCGGGATGCAGTATGAGGTTATAAAATATGTTGCTACCGCGGAGAGGAAATCTTAGTCGGAATGCACTAGGCCACCAAGTCCCTCGGAGGTCAAAATATCACCCTAAGGCATGATGTCTTCGCGGACACCACGCAATAGCGTACGTCCCATTTGGAGCAAGGTAATAGCTGGCAAGCAGAAAGTGAGCCTGACACGTGTCTATTTCTGGTAACTCTTACTAACGGGGCCAATATGTGTCCCGAACCCGAGCCTCTCCCTGTCAATGCCATGGCCCTCAATCAGCAGCCCTTCTCCTCTAGCATTTCTCTGCCAACTAGAGTTTCGAAGAGCCTCTCTCGAGCTTCTTGAGCAGCTTCTCAAGGTGAAAGAACGGCTCGAACTGTTCCAGCATAGACAGTTCATGCTGACTGAGCCTCTGCTTCGTCTTCGCCTGTGAGCCACCGTTCACCACCGCTTTGACTTGGATCTCCATCTTTTTCCCGTTGGCATTATAAGGTATCTCCTTGATCTCAAAGATGTGAGCCGGAACGTGTCTTCTGCTAAGGTCCCTGGCGATTTGATCGCGGATGCGGCTATCCAGGTCCTTATTTGGGAGGACATGATCGGTAGACTCGCCTTCTCGGCATTTGACGAAGAGAAGGACACGCTCGGTAGTGTCGGAATAGGGCGCGGCGCTGCGTTGTTGCCCGACAACCAATGAATCAACGATCGATGATGCAAAACGAGGCGAAGACAGGATGTTGTAGATTTCCGAACTGCCGAAGCGGACGCCGGACGGGTTGAGGGTACCATCACTGTGAAGTATGTCATTAGCCACATCTCTTCCATAGAGTTAGAGGATCTGGCTGACCTTCTCCCCAACACATAGGTCCCCCTTGTCACTGGGTTGACCTTGATGAAATCACCATGTGTCCATACATCTTGAGGCTGGTCAGTACGAACAAGGGGCCCAAATTGGGAGAAATAGTTGCCAGACTCACGGGGGAACATGTCAAAGTACGCACTATAATACCGCTTCTTTCCAGGATCGTTCCAGAACATGACCGGCATATTGGGAAATGGTTTCCTACAGACCAGCTCGCCGCTCTCTCCACCGGGTACTTCGATGCCATCTGGGGAGTATGCAGCAACATCCATACCCAATGCCTTCATCGCTATCTCACCGGGATATGCTGGGAGGAGGCGAGTTCCATGAATAAAAGAGCCGCACAGCTCCGTGCCGCCGGTGAATTGTATCTGGCACACAGGTCCGAAGGCTTCTCCCAGCCACGATGCCAGACTTGGTGTCAGTACCGCGCCGGTGGAAAAGAGTGTGTGAATCTTTTTTGCGTATGTTTCTGATTCAAGGTTAGTGTCAAAGCCAAAGAAGAGAGGCTTACGACCAACTGGGTGATAAATTTCGCTTCTGCAGCTCAGCGTAATAACGCGGTCCTGCGCCAAAACCGGTGATGCTACACAATCTCGTTATACGGGGCTCTAATCGGAAGAGTGGTGGTTATACAAACCCAGTTGCCAAAATACCTTGGAGAAACTCGTCTGGAGTCGGGTAAAACGGTGATCCGTCGTATAAGACCATTGTAGTTTTACAGAAGAGTGCCCCGATGGATATGTTCCACAACGTCCACCCGATCTGCAACTGGTAAGATTCCAACTCAAAGTAATGCACTGAGAGTGGGAAAGGAAGTGACCTACGCCGCTAAAATGAAAGTGTGTATCCTGCGGTCCAAAGCCATTGTGGAGGCGGTGCTCCTTGAAACCGTTCAAGAGCAAACCCTATATATCTTCGTGAGCGAGGCTCAACCAAATTTAGACGTCAGACATACGCCGTGTGAATGGACGATACCCTTGGGGGTTCCTGTCGTCCCGGAAGAAAACATAATGACCAGGGGCGTGTTGAATGGTACTTGCTCAAATTTCATCGGTGTTTGAGGGTCTTTGTCATTGATAAACGTCTCAAGGTTCTCGCTTTGGAGACAAATGAGTAGATTGTTACCATAAAGTTGGAAAATTCAATCAGCCTCACCATTTGGTTTTCATGCCAGCTGTATCTCCGATTACCACCAACTTCAGTGGCTTGGAGGCTTTGCTCGTCCAACCATCAACCTTTGTCGTGATATCGACACGCTTTCCATTATATGAATAGGATGATTCGGCGAAGACCACGCGGGGCTCGATTTGGCCGAGGCGGTCATTGAGCGCCTTGAACCACATTAGCTCAATGTAAACAGTTTGTGTCCATGGTAATCCCACCTTGTCCCCGATATCTGTTGCGAAGGATGCAAATATGCCGCCGACGGCTGCTGTAGCCAGAAGCAAACCCAAGGACCTGGCGCAGTTGCTCCCTATCACTAATAAAAGATCAGTTGCTCTCATATTCAACGTGTATGTACCGCGATAGGCACCATCCCTCCGTGTAATGCTTACAAGCAACAACATCTCCCTTGGCCACGCCGGAACGGCGTAATGCGTTTGCATAGGTGTGAACCAAGTGCCTGAGTTCCCGCCACGTATATCGCCGAGGAGTCCATAGATTTTCCTCGTTGACGTCGATAACAGCAACCTGATCGTCTTCTCCACAGAGCATATTCTCTGCAAAGTTGAGTCTCGCTTCCTCGAAGAACAATGGGAACTGGTCAATGGGGGCGTTCTCGTCCACTGCCTAGACACCGATCAGCGCATTGATTGATAACCACCCGGTAGTCACAACTTACCTTCTCAGGGTGGACGGATGCTTTGATCCCCAGGAACCGCCATGTTGCCATCCAGAAGTCATTCAATCGATTGATGGAGAAGGCGTGCAAGTCCTCATAAGTCTCTGGGATTGTTGATATTAGCATGGACCCGCGGACAGTGCCAAAAGAGTTCGTCAAGGTTAGTGGCTCACGAAGTTGCAGTCCATAGCTGCTATTCACATAGTCCTTGAAGTCGGCCAAGGCAGTCCGAAGGCCCGGAGGTGGTATGTATACCGGAGCGAGCGTCATGGTTTGCTATATGGATGTTTTCACACCTCACTGGAAATGCATCAAGAAGGCTTTGGTCCTGACAGCCTTAGGGTCGAGAGGAAAGACATATGTGATGTGAAGGGTTAGAAACACCCGATGTCGCTCTATCTTCGGCCTTCTCAACCAGTCCCGGCCCGCCTTCGCCGATCTCCTGCACGAGCTCTTCGCACGGACGAAATGGAAGCCTTGTGACTAGTGAGAGTTACCGAGGCTTCCCCCGCATGGTCGAAAATCGTCACAGTTTCGACGGAAAGGGCGGTCAAAGTTTGTATGCTATTGTCCTTATTGAGCAATGCCCGGTCAACCCGAGTGGCGATGAATTATTTCAAGGGGTGCGTTCTGTCGCAAAAACGAAGACTAGGCAAAGCGGGAGACTGGATAATAGAAATTGCCCCTTGGACAGACAATCCGTGGTGCTCGGTCTCATTACCAATGGAATCTTCACCTCAAGGGAGCTTTTCCTGTTGCGTTGCTGAGAGCCTTCTCTTGAAGTATTTTGTATTCTTTTGGTCCAAACAGAGCTGTTTTCCATGCATTCGAGTAGCGACAGCCACATTTCCTGTTCTCCTCTAGGTCGTCACAGTCAGTTTTGAGATGATCTTCCCAGAAACCTACGCCCGAAGGAGCGCGGACGTCGATCGACACTTGATGACCCATTGCTTCTATTGATGCGAACGACAAGATCAGGCCTCGTACCTGATTCTGCGCCTTTTGGATTCTCGGTCTCCTGAATCGGACCCCCATCGACGGCTGGGACACTCGATCGCGCAGCCGGTTGAGGGATGTTGTTATTCTCGTCTTCTTCTTGGAACAACCCCAATCCCTGTTGCGGCTGCACAAGCTTTTCCTCTAACCGCCTCAATTTTTCTTCATCCGCCGCCTGTCTTGCAACGAAATCCTGCGTAAAGATGCTCTGCTCGCGCTTTGCCAGCAGACTATTGAGGTAGTCGAGCTTCTGTTCAACTCGATCCGCCGTGTTGCCTGGGACCGCTGAGAAACCATCATCGGAGCTTTCTTGAGTGGCTGCCAGACTTGTGGCACACACCTGTCGGTCTGGGTAGGGGGTGATCTCGGGAGTATCGGAGGCTCTTGGGGAACGTTGTTGAAAGCTAAATGCTGTCGTTTAAGTAGCGCAATCTGCGAGCCGTCTTCCGCGTAAGTCATGAACAATCCCGGGCCTTCTCTGTAGCGTTTCCGATGGACTGTTGGCTCGGCTCGCCCCAGAGCATCTGGCGCGTCAATTCCGCGCTTCCGACATGCTGAAAGACTTCTCTTCATATATCATCCTTGCAATATTTCTTCTGGCACGTACTTTAGCAAGCGATGATTCCCGATGTAGAATCTGCTTGAAGCGACCATCCAAATCGCCGCATAACATGTTCCATCCTCGATTGGACGGCCGTCGAGGTGGCGATTCACCTCCGCTCACTGATAAGGGCTGTACGTATTCTCCCTCGGAAGAGCTATTGTATCCTTCATCTGAAGACGATTCGTCGCTAGGCCCAGCAATCGCGGGTGGTGGTGTCAATGCTCTGCGCCTTGTTCCGAAACCCATATTGCGTCTGATTGCTCTTGGGTTGGGCTTGTCTCGTAAGACTTGTTTGCGCTTGCCAGTAATATGTGAGCTAGGGCCGATAGTCGGATCTATTGACGACGACATGGTTGGGTGGTCAGCTTGTGGCGGGTCTTTCTGACTAGGTTCCGTGGTTGTGCCTGCATTTGGGCTTTATCCGTAGACACAAACTTCAACGTTATGGTAGCCCCGGGTCTTACTGTATCTTCTCAGAGATCTGGTAGCACATAGTTGCCGTTCTCCTCGGTCATTGAGAATGATTCCTGGTCATTCAAGTTTGTTTTAAGATGATATTGCCTCTGAGTCTTCTCAATGAGCCTTTTCATCTCCTAGTCTTGTTAGCATTTTCGAAGGCAAGACGGCAGTCACACCCGCCTCCAAGGTTCGGCATTTCCAACATGGGAACTGAAACTTTATTCCATTACCATTGACGAAAAAGGATACGTCTTTCTTCTCATCTAGGACTCCGGTACTGAGAGGTTCTTCGACACCTGCCTTCTCCTTCTGCTTCTGCGCTTGTTGTTTATATCTGTCCTCATTTGTGGAGGGTTGTCTATCTAAAACATCAATTTTCTCATTTTGCTTCTTCAATAAGTCCGAAAAGCTAGTAATAATATTGTCAGGCACTGTACTGGTTTTGTTCTTCGGGATTTTCTGGTGGTGCTTTGATGAGATCGCTTCATCCGAGTCTGTAAAATCTTCAGAATCATCGCTAGAAGGAGACGGCGGCCGTGCATTTGATCCACATGCCCGAAATCCGCCTTGTCCATAATACGAGTGCCCGGGAGGACTTGGATAAGGTCCATTCGGTGGACCGTAGGGGTTTGTGTAAGGCCCATTTGCCTGAGCATGGGAATTTGTTACATTTGTATAAGGTCCATTCGGCTGGTTGTTGTAACTGCCATGGCTGGCAGGTACTGAAGCGTACGGAGTGGAAACTGCGCAGTGTGCATACGCACCTCCCTGTGGATATAGTGGGATCATTCGGTTACTGAACGGAACAGGAGGGTAAACGTATCATGCTGTCGAAGACGACTGGGTGTATCCATTCGGTCCCTGGGACGATTGGAGACGAGGAACTCAACTAGACGACCTTCAAGTGTGGCCAGGAATTCCTGGAGTTACCAGATTCGAAAGGAGCGCGACTAAAGTTTTGAGAGCCGGACGGGCTCTTGGACCTCTTTCCACACGATGGCTCTTGGAAAGAGCTACATTTCCGCTGGGATATCTTCCGCGAAGGCAACCTCTGTTGAGATTGCGAACGCGAAGCTGGATCTGAAGGAGCTTTCGGGTAGACTGTAACGAAATCCCGAGGGTGAAAAGAAGAACCAGATACTGATTGGGCTGGTTGGCTAAAAGAATATTGAGGGTTGACTCTAGCCGATACTTCAACTCCAGCTTCGTCCTCGAAGAAGGCGTCTACTGAATTGGGACTTGGCGACCTGGGGAATGTGAGTTATGCCAATGATACCTCCTTCAGGGATCTGCGATTGGATTGACTCTGGGCCGTTGCTACCTTCCCTAATGGTGCGGATGTTTTCTTCGCGGTCTGTAGAGGCAGGAGCTGGCCCAGTCTGCGGAGGAGCCTGCCGCCGACCACAGTAAGAGGTGGCATACATGTGGCAGTCTGAATCTAAATCTGAACTCTCTGTTCGACCTGGACTGACGAAGGGGCTCCGTTTTTGACCCTGCCATTGGGTTGCTGAGCGGAACAGTCTTCCCTTGAAGCTGCGACTAAACCATCAATTTCTGGTAATTGGTAGGGTTCTGTGTCCGTCGTAGAATCGTGAACTACGATCGTATGTAGATTGTGCTCTTTCTGAACCTAGTTTATGTCTCCAGGCAGAACGATTTTATAGATCGGAGTCGTTTTCTTAGCCTAGAGGCTTCAGCTAAACCCTATATCCAAGTTTATCAACGTACCCTTTTCATCGAATGAAGCTCCCAGATCTTCCAAGACTTCAATATGTCCTGGTTGATTGGCTTTGGGGGGGGTTTCGCGGTCATGATAGGAGGTTTCATGTTTAATTTATTAGATAGTTTGATCCAGCTCACTGAACGAAACTCCCCATCTTTCGTTAGGAATTTTGTCTTATCCAATTTCGTCCAATTGGAAAGGAGAGTCTCGACTATTTCTTTCAATCTTTTCTTCTCTGCCTTTTCTTTCTTGTCAAGATCGGAAGCGGGAAGCATTGGAAAAGGAGTTTGTGGAACTGGAGGCGGGCGCAGCGAAGGCACTAGTTCAAGAAGCCATTTACTCTCAATAGACGCGTGAGGAAGCCGGAGGTTTGGTCCACTAAACTGCTGTGTGTAATTGTCTCGCATCTTAGCCCAATTCTCTGCATGCTGCCACCTGGCCAGTGAATGTTGAGTTGTCACGATGCTATGCTCGACCAGTGTTCTCAACTTTCTCTCCTCTCTTTTCCGAGTTCTGGGTGATCTGAGAACGTGAGCGGATGACAACCCCTGTCAGAAATGCGTACTCTTTAGCCTTGTTTACTTGCTTAAATTCAGCTAACTTGAATAACGACAACTGGAGAGAAAGAGTAGATTTGCAAGATTCGAGACTCAGGCGTAGAGACTCGATTCTGCGATATTGAAAGACAAACCTGATGCATAATCAGAACCTAAGAGGGTCAAAGTTGTCTTCAGCACCAGTCCCAATCAGCTTCTTAATGTCTCTTAATGTCTTCTTGTGTCTTTTCAAGATTTGATTGGCAATATCGAGGGCCGACGGTGAGATGAATTCTTGATTATCCTGCAACCAGACACGAAGATCGTCCAAGAACCTCAAAAATAGGTCCAGCTCCCAAGCAAGCTTTTCAATATCGTCCGCACTGGACTTTAGGGCGACTGCGAATGAGGAGAGGGATTTTGAGATCTTTAGGCCTGCCTTGGAGGGAGCGAGCAGCGATGACAATACCGAAAGGGGTCCTCCATCTTCTCAATTCCAGCGACGATTTCCACGCTCTCTACCCGGCACTGCAGGTCCCGCTCTGTAATAGGTGTAGAACATCGTTGGGGGGATAGTTGTTGGGAAGGTGCCTCTATCATTTGATTCGGATTCAACGAGGGCTACGCAGCGGCTTGATAATGCGCAACAGTGGACAGACTAGATGGTGCTATAGGGTATGGCGCGGGACCGTAGTAGCTGGTCAGTTGAGACATTTCAACATGTCATGTTCGTTGGTGAAGAGCATCGCCGGCGTCGTCTGCGACAACTTAGGCGATATCACGAATGGCAGCGGTATCAGGTGAAAAAAGTGTAGTTGCGGAGAGAAATCTCAGTCACGAAAGCATTGTATGAATCCGAGAGGGGCAGTGTCCCCCAAACCGGTTTGCCTTGAGAGGCTATGCCCAGCAAATCTTTCGTTGGAGCTGCATTACTGTGCATGAAACACGGCTTGTCCAAAACCTCCACTGGAGTCCATTCCTCTTCCACATCTGAGCGCCTGCCCCTAAGCCCGGCCATATGCGTGTCAAACTTTGAACCGTAGGCTGCGACGCGATCCTCAAGAGGCTCTGCGCAAGAATGCAAGGCTCCACAAGTTGTGGTGTTTCCGTAAGCTCAGTCCCACACTGCTCGAGTCATTTCACCTGGTGCGGAGTTCATAGTCTCCGGGCAAGCCTGCTGCCGCTGGAGTAGATACTCGCCACAGTTAAACACGGACGTTTTCAATGGTTGTTGCGATTGGATGTCATTATCTTGACTCATGTTCCTTCAAACGAGATTTGTGGAGACTTCAGTGCATAACTACATGAGGTCGAGACGTACACAGGTGTAGGAAAAGGTCTGAATACTCCGTATTGATTGAGAGAGGAAATTTATCTTGCGGCGATGACATTTGCATGTGGAGAAATGCCGCAGTATTAATAATTAGGCGATCGACTAACATACCCTCGTGGGCAAGACTACAAGGGCTATGGTCCTCGCCAAAAAAAATATGGGCGAAAGATGGATGTACATACTTCCACTTTGGAGTATTGCATCTCACCTTTCGGTGAGCGTCTGCCACAATACAATCAAAGAACTTTGACCTTGGCGCGAATTGAACAGTCTCTGTTTTACGCCATTAATTGTGTCTCGAAACTTAAGCTAAAGCCATGGCGCTATGCGATGCGTGACAGAATGTCACGAAATCGCTCTCCAGCCGTGATCTTTGACGGTCCAGATTATGCCTTCGCTTTGAAATCTATTCGTCATGGCCCGTGGTTTCAACGAACTTGCATCATCAAAGCCTTGGTGTGGACCTCTGTCGACTCCTCCATCCATTACTGTCTTGAGTAGCTTGATGGGAAACACGCTGAAGGGAACGCCATCGACATAACACTGATTTAGACAATATAAATAGATTACTGCGGACTCACGTGGCAAGACAGAGTAATCTCAACAGGCTTTCGGAAGGCTAAAGGTCATTGTCGGATAGCACAACGAGCATCAAGCGGAAGGATAGTCTTGACTTTGAGGACTGAAGACGGACGAAGGTACAACAAATAAGATAGCTTGAGAGGCGAGAGATAAATGCCACTTGTTGAGGGCTAAGGCCACCCATCTGATAAACAGCAGAGGGTCTCTTCATGCCCACGCACTCTCTTTGGGGCAGATCTCGTTTCCAGAGTCCCGAGGCGAGGATTCATCCTCCCAGTTTCGTCGTTGGTGCGGAATGGCTCAACCGTGAATTCAACAAATACGAGGTACTTACTTCCATAGAACCAACGTGATTCTACAGGGTCCTGGGGCTCGTCAGAGTATCGAGTTCCTCGTACTACTAGGGAAGTAGTTGAGGGGCTTATAGGGGTTACTTAGCGCGTTTCCGAGGCATTAGCCTTCGGCCCAACACCTAGCCTGATCGCACATGTCAGGGGCTTCGTATTACCTGATAACCAGCTTGTCCAGATAATGTAGGCGGCGCCCCGGGGACAATACCCCTGTTCATTATCCAATGTGAACTTACGAATGCGTCTGTAAATTATTTTGTCCGACGCTTCTGCAGACATTTTGAACGTCCTGCAGCAGGTCATAGAGACGTTCGACTCGTCCTATATAATGTCAACATCTTTGGGAGTCGTCAATTCGCATTCAGGTACAGGGTACTGGTACGGAGTACCTCGTAGAGCGCAACTCGAACTGTCTCACTTGGGAATTCACCAGAGCAATCAATCAATCAATCAATCGTCAAGACAGTATTTTGGAGGCTTTTTTCCACTTCGAGCGAAGGTTGAGCACCAGTGTTCTTTAACTTTAGGGACAGGCAAACTTGCATTCTGTGGCTTTGGGAGCAATTTCCAGAGACCTTTGTGGCGTTATCTGAAACTAATCTAGTTCACAGATCCGCGGACTGAACATTGGGGTCCGACAAGGAATTGATATTTCCATTGCTCATCTTCCCGCGATTCTCTTCACTTCATGTCCAATATATCTCGCTGCAATGGCGACTCTAGCAGTTTGGATATCCACGTGTTTGTGGTTCTAGCCTCGGCTCCAGCCCTGTGGCCCACCACATTCCGCCCGAGAATCTAGATATGAACCGCCCTATTTCGAGGGCGGGGCCTCGCTTGTTGCTTCTAGTGTATCTCCTCACCAGCGTCACGGCTTTGGAGGTCATCTATCCCAAGATTGGAACCATTTATCCAACAACAGGCCCCCTTGACGTGCAATGGCAATCAACGTCTGAGTAAGCGTTTCGAAAACTATCTCTCCTTGGCACCAGGCTGAACTCAACACTAGATTGGATCCCGTGGACCTTGCAATATATCTGGCCACATATAGTGGGCAAACCCTCAAGAGCGAACAGCCTTGCATCGTTGCCGTTATAGATGATGGATCTACGGCTATCACTCTGAGTCATCCGCCACCACAGGGGTAACTTGGTCCCTCCCCCCAGTTTGCAGAAACGTATTGCACAGGCTCATAAACTTTATATCGTAGGGACTCCTGGACTTGGATGTTCTATGACAACGACGTCATCATCTCTCTAGGCAATAACTATATTGCCCAGTCTGTGCATTTCCAATTCCAAAGTGCCACGCCGAACACAACCTCGACCTCAACCCCAACAGCCAAGAACTCTCCAGGAAGCTTGTCGCCGGCTGTTGCAGCGGCCATTGGTGTCGGAGGGACACTCATTGTGGTGGCGCTGGGTCTCCTCGTCGGCTACTGTTGCTTCTATCGGCGATGGCAGCAGAAGAAGCGTGAGACCATCAGTGCGGTTCCCTACACGCCAGGTCATCGATACTCCAAGCAGGAGCTGGACAGTAAACCGGGCACAGCTCATAGCTCCTCATTCCCCAGCAACCCCAATCCGCCCTCTTACGCTGGGATGAAGGTACCATCGCAGCACGAGATGGAAGTCTATCCCGGTAGCCCCTTCGCCGCCTCGCCATCAAACCACATTGTCTCTCCTGACGCTGAACTCTCGATCAAGGCACGTCACTCACATCTCCCGCATCAGAATGCTCACCAGCCATCGGCGCCATGGAGTGAGCTAGCGCCGTCACCTGTACGGCACGAAATGTACCACGATCCACACCGCCGTTTACCTCAAGAACTGCCTGGCGATATAGGCTTACGGAATACGCAGATTAAGGAGAACTGGTAATGTCACCATCGGCGCTTTGGACGATCGTCTTGGAATGAGGGCTTGCTTGTTTGCTGTGAATTAAACTCTTCTTAACGCGATCGGCGTCGCTGCAGGAATCTGTAGCTGTGCTTCAAGCGACCGCTTTAAGAGTTTGAAGCTGGCAAAAGCAGCGAGAGGGCCTCCTATCGAACATCTTATGACTCGGACGATCTGGAGGGAGAAATAAATAAACATGTAACATAGAGTGAGCATTCACTTTGAGGCCCGCATTCGATTCTGATATTCATTCAGCAGAGAGCTGCTCCATCACCAGAACCTAACGGGCTCGAATAGAAGGGGTTGAAGGAGATACCCCGGATAGTCCGATGTGATCTCATCTTCGCACTGCGAAATATACTGCGGGACACCCCCAAAGTAGTAGTAACAACGCAATGTCTTGTTCTCCACATTACCGCCAACGTGCCACGCTCTGGTCTCTTTCGCCCCCTCTCCATCAATGTGGAAGAGAATGCTCTATCTATCTTGACAGCCCATGCTCGAGCAACCTCCTTTTCGGTCTCAATTCGATCAAGTCCATTGTTCCGCATGTGCAGCATTGTTCTTCCTATCCAATCCGCGGTGTGATCCACTATAGTTGGGAGATTGGCCCATGCTGATTGGTGTCCCAGCATCGTGAAACGATTAGGGAATCCAGCAAGGGTGATATTACCGTAGGCGGTGTCCAGATTCGTTCTCATGTAATCTTTGAGGAGCTGCCCCTTTGTGCCGCGAATGTCAATGCCATCGAGTCGGCTAATAACGGCATCGAAACTTGGTTTCAATGTAAGCTCAGCCTGCACAGCGGCCTAAATCGAACGTAAAGGGAAAGGTCAATGGGGCAAAAAGAATGAATAAACTGAAGGGGAAACACAGAAATATTTCAAACTTACCAATTGCGAAGATGAGAATGTCTAGCTCAAACTCTCTGCTGAGCGTTCACGCGCCGGTTGGAGTGATTCCTTGAACTGGATCTTTCGTGATATCCACGAGCTCGACATTGGGTCTGTTGAATGTTTCGTAATAAAAATGTCTCAACGGCGGTCGCTTACACATGAGCGGATATTAAGGGCACATTGTCTCTGCTGTATCCGGATCTTGGACGATAGCCCATATTTTCCTGCGTACGAATTCACTTACTTTCTTGTTGCATTCTGCATTCGTCATCTTATTGTCGATGGTCTCGGAAACGTATCGAAAGCCTCCTCTTCCCAGCCATTGTCAAGAATCTGCTGTAACACCTCATCGACTTTAACATCAAGAGAGCTGCGATTAACGACAGGTATATCAGCGCTGAATGGTTGTGCTCGGGCGCGTTCAGCAATTCCCCGAGAATCATTCTTAATCTCCCGTTCTTGGTCTTCAGTGGAAAGAAAAGTGCGCCCGGGAAGAAGACAGTTCGGTGTTCGTTGAAACACAGTAAGGTTCCTAGCACCGTGTACCACAATAGGAATAATCTGAACACCAGTGGCACCGGGCCCGAAGATGTGAACCCGCTTGTTTGTGAAATCGACCTTTCTGTCTGGCCAAAACCCTGTGTGGCGCCATTCCCCCTTGAGTGTATCGATTTCTGGGTATTGGTCCTGATAGTGGACTAATCGCAGTTATGGGTATGTGCAGGTATGTGATTTGCCGTGAGAAGTAGCGACCTTCCAAGGGTTTTGTGCATCATAATATTGCGCTGAGGTGATCGAGTATTGAATTCAATGTTTCTCCGGAGATCGGGGAAATCAACCACTTGGTCCAGATACTTCTCAAGGTCTCGCTGGGTGGGAAAGCGCTCTCTCCACTTAAGTTTGCATACCAATGTCTTCGAGGAACGAGAGCACATATACCCAGACTTCACTGTCCGCTCTGGCTCCAGGATAACGATTCCAAAACCATGTTTAATAACGAGCAAAGTTTGGCGTCAGTGTTTGCCTCAAAAATTGAAAGGTTCAGATTCGTGCTCCGACGACACCTGAGCCAGCTTCAAAGCACTTGCCATCGATCCCGCGCTTACGAAGCTCATACAGCATTCGTACACCACTTATCCCCGCTCCAATGATGATAGCGGTGTGATCAGGTTGCGAGATGCCGTTCACGACACCATTTGCGTAAGCCCTTGTGAAATATCAGGCGTCAGGACCAGGATGAAGCAATGTCGAGCAGTAGTGAATGTCCCTTATTCCAGTCAGATATTCAGATCAACAATAGTTCACGTCCACAGTCTAAGGATCTTCCAGTCTAGTTAATGCAGCCGAGGCTACGACGACATGCGGGGCAGGGGCGGGCCACGTACCTTGTGTTCTCTGCCACAGCGTGTGGCCACTTGCGGGGGCGGAGCCGGTACGCAGCTGCGCTTGGGGGCCATTCATGTCTGGTAGTGGGGGTTGGCAGGGGTTGGGGGTGTGGCTGGCCTGTGGGGGCGTCTACCCTAGAAATGAGGAAGTCCTGGGATAAGTGTTTGCAGCCTCGGTGTGTGAGTTGTTGCACCTAGTTGAGAGGAATTCGGACCACACATGATCTCAGGAGGATTATGGTTCATGCATTCCCTGACTGGCTGAAAATTTGTATTGGTAATATTTGTATCATAATACCCACGGCAAAGGTACCCTGTGCGGTATAATAAGCGATGTTGGTGGTGGCGGAAGTCTTCAGGGTCAGTGTGGAGTCAGGACCGAGGAGCCGGCGATTTTCGAGTTGAATGGTGTTTATGCTTGCCTGATCAGATTGTAGACCAAGACGCATACTCAGAAATGTTCTTTCTGACAATGCACGGAGGATTTGCGACGAAGTATTTCGTGTCCGGCTTGGCCACGAACCTCAGGGGCCTAGTTGTGCCAAGGGTCACCGCCTAATGCACTTGCGATCTCAGAGTCTGTCATGTCGACGTAGCCGCGTATTTCACGAAACACTCTCGCAGCCCCCTTGTCATAATAGCGAAGTAGATGGCATTGAATGTTTGATCACCGAGTCAAAAAGGAGCAGGAAATATTACCTTCGACAACGCTGGCTAACTGGGAATATTCCCCACGCGGGCTTTTCAAGTCATGATTCTCAATTGGCGGTTACGAAACAGGACTCCATAGACAAAATGTTGATGGCTTTTCGCGCTCAATCGACAAGGAGGTCCAATCGTTCAAGCCATAGTCAGACCTGCTATCTTCATCTTCCTTCGTTATTTGAACTAAGATGTCGTTCAGAATGCACCTTATCTAGCGCGCTTGGATCTAGTCACAGCCAGTTTGAGACTACTAACAATCTTGCACCTGTCGTCAACGCTTCGATAATTAGCCCAAGCTCCAGGACAGTTAATGGTCAAAACACCTGAAGACGATGTTCCATGCTATATCAGACCTCCGCTGCAAGAGCTCAATGCTGATGACCTTCGGTTCTTAACTCGATCAGGTGCTCTGTCGATGCCTGGTAAAGACCTTCGCGATGAACTATTGCTACGCTTCATACTCTATGTTTACAGCAACTTCCTTTATAGACGAGCAACTCCTACGACAAGCTGGCTTTGCTGATCGCCGAACTGCACGTGCATAATTTTACAACAGTCAGGGAGAGTCCAGCCCGCCTCGTTGTCCTTCCTCAACTAATACTTAATAGCTCCTTTACGATTTTGACTGGGAAGCGGACCAAGTCACTTTAATTCAGACGATACTACTCCAAGCTCATTTTTCTGTTTCAGAGAGTGATCTAAAAGATCCCTGGTATTGGTTAGGAGTATGCATATGACTGGGCATAAGCCTTGATGATTTTGACCTGGAAACTCCTTCAACTGCTATGACACAAATTCAGGACGCATTTACGGTGATGTACTACGATTGCAGAGTTGCCCTGGCCAAGATGTTCATGGCCAAAGTGAAGCTCCTGTCGACAGTGGGTCGAGAGCTCGAGAAGCTTTACGTTCTCCGATCAATCAGGGGTCCCAACACCGAACCAAGGATGTTCTACAATTCGAAACTTTCAAACTTTGACCTAGGAGGATTTCACAAACTAGCAAATGAACTTGACGACCGCAACAATCAACTGCCAAAACCTTGTCAAATACAGCAGAGGGCGAATCTTGATTGGCCCAACGCGCCATTTCTTCATCTACACCGAGTCTATCTCAGGATGGTGTTCTTGCTAGTTCTCGAAGCTCTACACCGTCCCTTGAGCCTGTCAGGCGGACGACTGAGTTTGTCAGTATGACAACCACGGCATAAGTCATTGCCTATTGTCAGAGACTGTGGTGTGCTATAGAAATGGCGGAATTGGTGGAATCACTCGGAGAACAACATCTTTTTCTCTTCCTTCCCTCAATATCTATCACTTGTCTAACCGCTGCTGCCGCCGCCCTCTTGGTTGAAGCCAAGTCACCAGGTAACTGCTTAGCAGATCTGCCCTAAATGATGTTCCAGCAGTGCCTTCTAGGACTTTGGAGCCTTAAAGAGGTCTGGCCCACCGCAAATCATGCAGGTTATCTTGTTGGACAGATAATCAAGCTCAGCCAACTGGATACAGCCGGACTATGCGGTATACGAGCGTCGCAAACACTCCCAATCCATCCAGCGGAAAAATCTCATGGAGTTACAAACACACAAGCCCCAGGCATAATCATGCAAGACGGCACATCTGGCAAGGGAGGAATTTATTAAACTGCTGCCTGCCAGGAACAAGACAATTTGGCAGATTTTGCAAGCCCAATACCTGAATTTGACTTCATTCCCTTGGATTTCGAGAGTGGTTGATCAAGTAATTTCCCATAGACAGCAATTAACTTCGGATTTTATGACTAACTTTTCAATGAAAGAGAGCCATGTGTCAGACCGCGAGCTAGCGAGGATGGCAGCGATCCCATGTCTCATGGCTGGATGGTGGATCTCGACCGTTTCGGAGTTGTGAGAAAAGTTGAAGCTTATACGAAGTACTGCTTCAAACGCTTGGGGCTTGGTCTTTTAAACGACAGCACATAATCGTTACTCTCTTCAGGCAGTGCCATACCAGACTTGTTCAAATGAGGGCCGTGGGAAGTTTATCGACTAGTCTACCAAGGTAGTTGAATGCCATCATGCTGCCATAGTTTACCGCCGTGAGTTTCCTTCGCAGCCTCATCGAACAGCTTTATCATGCCATCACATGAATCAGGAAGGCTGTCAGGAGCATGCTCCAGGCCAAAGACTCGAGCACCGCTGTCACCCATATCGGTCTGAACCCATCTATGAAAGAGGTTAAATATGAGAATCGACTGAACATAGAGGCAGGACATCCGACAACCTACCCAGGATGGGCTACGAAAGCAGTAAGCCTTTCCTCTTCGCCGTTCATTCTCTTCGTGAACCAGTGTATTGCAGCTTTGGATGGTCCATAAGCGCAGTTGTCGATTGCAGGTTGGTTCCTTCGCCCACTGTCAGATCCAAGTAACGATAAAGCAGCACAAACAGAAAGCGGTTCTCCAAGTCGATATAACGACTCTACCAACAACCATAATGGTCAAGACAAATAACTTACTACAGAGCAAAGACATGTTAGCAGCAATTCCGCGAAGCCCGCATATGCACGTAACAACAGAAAGTGATTTACCTCAATGCTTCCGGCAATTGAACCCATAGTCACCCATTTCGGGTTCACAGAACGAAGTAGTAGGGGCTGCATAGCTTGGTAGAGTCGTACAACGCCATAAACATTGGGTTCGATGTGACCTCGAACAGCATTGATGTCGACATTGGCGACGGAGCCAAATGCATAGGCAACGCCGGCGTTCGCAATGACTAGATTTATATAATCGATGCCCCGTTCCTTGAGTTCCTTGGCGGCGTCCGAGGCGTCTGTTTCGCTCTTTGCATCTATCTTGACGACAATAACACGGCTGTCCAATCCCCTAGGTAAAGCCGTGAGCTCTTTGGATGAGGCACTATCCGGGTCCCGGTTTGCTGCGATAATGACGTGATTTGGTCGTGCAATATAGCGTTCAAGGAGCCCTCTACCTATGCCTCTGTTGGCACCGCTGATCAATACGATGGTTGGTCCCATATCTCCTGCTTCGGTTGTAGTTCAACCAGCACGGCTCCCAGATTCTTGAAACTTACGGATGAGATTTGTGTCGAATATCGACTGTAGACATCATTTTGCAAAGAATATCTCCCATTTAAATCTAGTAAGCCGTGTCTTTGGACCGTAAAACGGACGAAATATACAGCTACCCACATGAGGACCCGCCTTGGAAAAACCTATCTCTGACATTGCATAGTCCTGATACAACCTTGCCCACCGTCATAAAATAGAATATCACATGGTAGAATCGCCAGACGAAGAAAATTTTCTAGATTGTAAAGCTTGTCCACAGACAGTACAAATCGTCTGATAAGGATCGGTTGAAACTTCGTTGTTAAGCCGTTCTTGATAATATTGCATGAGTTCTAAGGCAAAAAGTGCTGACTCGGTTAGAAGATGGGTTCTCAAATGTCAATGACAGGAAAATTCAAATTCTTTCTTGGAGTTTTCAGTCATAGTCCGGATTCGAGAGCCAGCCATTTATCTCCTTGCCTCCCAAGTGCCTCGCTTTTGACTGGCAGATAGAAGGCTACATTCATTGCGACTCTCGCAATCTAGGCGGATTAGATCATCTTTCACAGTCAAAAACGGTAAGCGATTTGACCCAAGGAGTTCAATATGAACGACATTGAAAGCAGGAATCTGAAATCAGCCTGTTGGTACGCATGACCCCCTGTGAAGCATTCGCTGGCCATCGTCGGAGACCAATGCAGCGAAAAAGCTCGTTGAATGATGCGAATCGAGAGTCCACGGAACGTGGGAAAGCATCACTGGAAAGAAGATGGAGACCGGCGGAAGTCGGGTCTCGAATGGCGAAATAATAGCTATACCATACGTGGATTAGGTGCGCAAGCCATCTGACCCTGCAGCAAACCATGCCCACCGGCAAACTTTCCAGCCTCTACCTTCTGACAATAATTAGTAATGCTTCTACTTTCTTCTTGTACTTCTGCTCCGGCAAGCAGAAGCAACGGTCATTTCTTGTACACATCGAGTTTTGAATTGAGTCGGGAACCAAGACGACGTCTCTGCTTCACGATTTTGCGTACAAAGACTCCTTCTACGTACGGGCGTGCCCCAACAATGCATAGGAGACTTCATTCACGAGGAACAGACCTAATGAAGAGCCTCGAAAGCCCGAAATCCATGACCAGATGCGATCCCTGCAATCCCAACAGCAAACTTCATGATCTCTTGGAAGAAGTTGCGAGGCCCAGCAGTCCACAGATACATGCCTTCTTTGAATTCTGGGATTTGCCTATTGATGTTTATGAATTCCAAAGACCTCAAACCCCTCAAGGGCGTCCTGTAAAGCAGACGGGATACTCAATAGGATCTCAACAGGCTATGGCAGGAACAACAAGTTCACATCCCATGAGCACGATGATAACGCCATCTTCTGTGCTTACATTGCTTTCCACCGCGACGATGACCCAAGATGAATATGACTTCGTCTCTAGACAGGCACTCCCAGCCGCTTTGGAGCACAATGCCTCACAGTCTTCTATACACTCGGGCGAGAATCACTGGCTCGAGCAAGTCTCGAGTCAAAATATTGACAATTGGGATGAAGCCTTGTGGTCCAACGGAGTACAAGCCGAGTGTCCTGCAATCGGCACAGGTTTTGGCATGATAGGACATCACACGAAAGACACCAATGGCGAGTCACAACCCCAAATTGAATACCAAGAAGAACAGTGCTGGATTGACACTCTGAATTCTCTGACGACGTCAGCATCTGCCATGTTCCAATATCCGATTTCACCACAAGACTTGCCCTACCCTGGCTTCCCTCCTGAATGGCAGAATGCACCAACCGACAGCTTCGTCTTTAATGAAGAGAATATTTCCAGGCTTAAACATGGTGCTCATTCGGCTCTCAAGAAAACGCTGCAACCAAGGCACGCGAAATAAGCATCGTGCGGTGACCATTGAGGTCGTCTTAAACCCCAAAAATTGTGCATTCAACTTTCTTCTGAATATCATTTCCACAATCTCTGTCTTTAAGCTTCTTTATAAGCCACACTGTTGCCTAACGCGGCATACGGTTATATAAGATTGATCCGCCGGTTGATATTGCCCTTGTTGCCAAATGAGTCCGTGTTTCAAAGTATGGAATTTGGGATCCGCCCTCTGGAGACATTTCCATCTACGCGAACGCCAAGTAAAATGTGTTACATCCTGACAAAAATTAGAGTAGATATCGACATATCCAAGATGTACTTAACTGGTATGATTTTGGCCTTGTGGATGTTGAACTATACCCTTCAGCCATAATTATTCTCGTACACCGCTGCAGCGGACTGATGCTAACCTACCCACTAGCTGAGTTTGCTTGACATGGAGGATGCTGTAGGATAGGATTATCATTGGAAATGCTGGCAACTTCCCCGGATAACAATTCAACGTGCAGTTGATTAAAGACAAGTCAAACCAAAACGAGATCAGCTTCGACTCTTTCGAATCATTGGCAAATTGCAGCCCAAAAAAAAGAAGCTGACATGCACCGCTAAGCGAAATCGTTATTGGATATGGGGAGCGCGCTTAACCGGAGCGGGACTAGTATATATGCAAGATTAGAAGAAGCGTTGCCGTAATAGGTTAAGTCAAACGAAGCTGATATTTGAGGCCTCTTTTTGCACCTTGGAGGATGAATTCTAAATGTCGTAAACTTGCAACGCATCAAAGTTACCGAGGTAGCCCACCGAAATCCCAGAGGGCTTCCGGTTAAATTACCAAACATAGTAGTCGTGCCCAATGCTACCTCGGCAAGATTTGAGACAAGCACTTGCCAACACAGGGGCACAAAAACATATTCTTTCTAAGTAGTCTAGTAGTGGTAGAATATGGTAAAGGACATGTGGTCCTTACGGTTGCCAGGGCCCAAGCCTTGCCACTGGCTCCTCTATCTAGAGTCTGCTACCTGCTCCCCGCTCCCCATGGGGTTTTGCCCCTGGTGTTTATTCCTCGGCGTCCAGCGCTCAAAATTCCTATCAAGACCAGGTCTTCTTCTTATCAGTCAGCATAATTTCCTCTCTGTTATTGTTCTGAGACAGCCAGCAAAATGATGAGTTTCAGCCTTTACAACTCACATATACGCAGTTCTAGGAGTTGATGCTTTCACATACGGGTTTGGCTTTTCCGTCTTCGTCTCTGCTGGAGGCCAGCCAGGGTTTTACTCTATTTCAACCTCGATCTGACCAGTAAACACACTGCTAATATCATTGATACTGTGAATGCCTTGTTCACAGTCGGTACGGCGTTTGGATCTATCGCGCAGTCCTTCGTCGCCAACAAATCGGGCCGCAAAATCGGGCCGGCGGTTTCTGCTATATGTGCCCTCATAGGAGGCGCACTTGCAGCTGGAGCGGTTAGCATCCCGATGTTGGTGGTCGTACGTCTGTTTCAAGGCTTTGGGCTAGGAATGGCCCTTCCTCTCGTGCCGCTTCATCTGTCAGAGATCGCACTTCCTCAGCAGCGAGGCCTGCTCTCTAGTTTGACAGTTTTGAGCTTCGAAATAGGATATTTGGTGTAAATGATTCTTCTAATATTTAATCGCACTCAAGGAACTGACTAAGTTCTAAGTTGTGCCTGAATCGCAGTGAGAACATATCATGCAAATGCTACAGTACAATAGCGTGTTCCTCTGGCTCTTGCCTTCGTCTCACAGTTACTCTTACTCATAGCCCTGCTAGCTATCCCAGATACTCTAATTCTTCCTGGCAGATTTTGTTTCCCCTATTAACCCGTCATGAAGAGACCCGTCGGTACCTTATTTGGATTGGGAAAAAGGAAGAAGCATGGAACATTCTCTGCCGGCCACATCACATGCCAACAGACCCAGAAGACAAGGGAGCACGTGCAGAATATACACAAATTGTACTACAGGTCGAACATGACAAGGAAGAACAGGCCGGCTTCGTTCAGATCTTCAGAAAGCCAACATTGAGGCGCGGAGCGATTCTGGTCATCTTTCTTCTGTAAGACACCGTTCGGGAGACTTTTCACTTCCCAACGCTGACCTGTCCTCTAGCTTTGCATCACCATCGACAGGAGTACGTGAGGTTGGGGTCACCTTACGTTCTTTTCTAACTTGGATACAAGATCGTTGGCATTTCGAATTATCTTCCAGTCATTTTCCCAGGTCTCTGCTTGACTGGTGTCATGCCACTGGTCATGTATGGTGAGTATTTCTACCTAATCATAATCACAATAAGTCCTCATGAAGCTTTCAGGAGTCTGGTGTACGATTGGGACGTTGGTAACGCTCTTGACCATTTTCATCGTCGACAGGGTCGGTAGACGAACACTGTTGCGTAAGTCCCACAGCGGCGACTCACTCTCCCCTTTCTACCTGAGCATAGGCCATGCATTCTAAAAGCAGCCCTTTGGATGCAGTCACTGCGTATCCGTTGTTAGCGCTGGTACACCTTGCCGAGTCCCTTCTGCAGAACGCGTACATTGACACGGAAAACCGCGGTGGCCTTGGGGCTCGCCTCTTGTTCCTTTTGATCTATATCATCACGTTTCAATTCATTTATTCTCCAGCATTATTTGGGTTGCTGAGGTTTGGCCAAAAACGTACCGCGAAGGGTATCAGTCCCGATTTTTACTCATTTTTCATCGGCTCTCTCACATATACAACTCCGAGTGGGGTTGCATTCAAGGGATCTAACATGTCCTGGACGGGAATATCGATTATGGATTTACCAGACGCACTCCCTTCGGCTCCAACCCTAAGAGGTGAGGGAACTCAACCGCCTCCCTTCCTAGATATAGGTGTGAACCGCGGTACCTGTGGGCCTTCAATCCACCATCGTAGCGAAGGGAACTCACCACAAGCAGCGCTTGGAATATTTGTCCCCTTGGAATTTGGGACGTCTTACGCACTCCCTACCGTCCGATTTACTCCTTAGGGGGGAGACTTGAGCATGTTCGAATCGGCGTCAGCATCTAAGGTGAGTGGTTCGAGAATCTTATTCCTAGTTTAATTACCCTGCAGCAATACGGTATCAGTCATCTTGGTGTCTTCTCCAATTGGGGACTTGAATAGCTTGGTTCAACTTGCACAAGAGCATTGGTCACCATGTACATCCAGGGCGAGGGCCACTCTCTGAGCAACAGAGCGGAATTCCGTCTGGGAATTGACATGCACCGCCGGCACCGCAGAAGTCTGAGGCTTGTGGACCGACGCAGGTGTTGAAGCTGATTTGTGCGGATGCACTCGAAGCGATGACTGCTATCATAAGAGGAGATTGGTGGATTGAAGCTTCATGGTGACCGCACTGGATGCACAGAGCACGATAAAATCTTTGTTGAGATCCATTGAGCAATCCAAAGTGTAGAAAGGGAAATCAAACCGAGTTGGATGGAGGAAAGAAGTATATTATTGCGGCCGTTAAATAGTTCTGGAAGCATAAGGTTGATGTTGTACGAAAGGTTGAGATGTGGACCTGTCTCCCTGGCTATTCAGAGAGACTCTGCCTGTTTATATATACATTGGTCTTTAACCACAAGAGTATTCCTGAAACCTCCTACTCCGTCGCCATCCTCTCACAGAACTGCGGGAACAACGAGGTTGAGGCAGTTTGCGCAGTTGGTGAAGCGTCTAGCGTCTCAGGTGGCTATCTTGCAACCCTGTCAACAGTTGAGTACATTCACTCGACAGTGTATTCACCTACTTCGATATATTCCACAAAGTAAGACTCCGGCATATAAGTTACTGGTTTATCATTTCCTTGTATGGCGACGGTCCGTAGCGCTAGGGCTGTTGCCATTGTATCATCCTTAGGTCCGATTGCCTTAATGAGCCTGAAAGTCAGCTTGGACTTGGTAGGTTTCTCCAGAGCGACGATAAATATTGGGGCTGCATCCTAAAGTGCAGCCTCGACAGAAATCTTGGGCTCAGACAGCCTGGAATCAGATCTGCAATCAACGGTCAGAAAGAGTACCTGTGAGTTCAATTGAGCATGGTGAACCCTAGTCTATCTCAGCGCAATCGGGTACAAGATCAGGCTCTCCAGGCTGTTTCGGCTTCTCGAAAGGCATCCAGGTGCGTGTACAATTTCAAAGGTATGTGGGCAAACCGTTCGCTTTCATCGCTAAGATTCCGGTCATGCTCGGATCGATTGTCTCCGTCCCTAGGAGCCTTGTCATTCTCAAAGGGCTTCTTGTCGATTGCTGCTTGGATACAGCAAGGCTCTCTGCCTCTCGAACATGCAGCTGATCGGCGCCAACAGGTGAATATTTGGGGGACTCTAGTAAGGAACATCCTCAAGTATGCGATACTGTCTCATTCCTGTTCAGATGGAGAGACTTTGTATGAGGACATGGAACGAAGTTGATCCGATAACGGTGACTGCATTGGAGACGAGGCTTAGGAGCGAGCGGTTTAATGAGGACATTTCGCTTCCTTGTTGTATAGTCGTGCAGGCTAGTGAGACTGAGAAAGATCTTTCCGATGCGTTGGAGGTTCGATACCGCGAGGACGAAGAACGAATATGAGTACTATCAGCTGTGATTCTGTTACACATTCGTGTAGCTAGTCAATAGTAGAATTCGTTTCCGACGACCTCCTCCAATTATGCATCATCGGATCCCGTAAAGCATACTGAGCCCGCCTTTTCGCAGAGTGTTTGCAAAAATGTCCCACGAGATTTCCAGATGGCGGGGCAGCGGGACTTTGGAAACTTGATTGCGGGACCAACTTCAAGGCCACCCTTCTTTTATTCGGACATATTGAAGCTCAGCCACGAACAGCCCCTTCTGCCTTTATCGATTTCGACTCACAGCCTAACTTTGAACTTTTTATCATGGCACCCGAACGACTAAGGTCTACCATTCTCACTAAAGATGGTATTAACTGGTACTATGAGCAAGAGGGTTCTGGCCCTGATGTTGTCTTGATTCCAGACGGCTTGGGTGACTGTCAGATGTTTGACAAGCCGATGTCTATCATCGGTAGCAGTGGCTTCAAGGTGACCACATTTGATATGCCTGGAATGTCGAGGTCCTCTTCTGCGCCGCCGGAAACTTACCAGGACGTCACAGGCCAAAAGCTGGCTAATTACATCGTCACCGTCATGGACCAGCTGGGCATCAAAACTGCGTCCGTCTGGGGTTGTAGCTCTGGGGCATCGACCGTGCTTGCATTGTGCTCGGGATTTCCCGAGCGTGTGCGGAACGGGATGCCACATGAGGTCCCAACCGCGAATCCCGAAAACCTTCAAAATATTCACGATGCCGACCCTGCCACAATCTCTAGAGATATGGCAGCTGTCTCGCGGGCCATGTCAGCGAATGAAGAGGCATGGGACGCACTTGGACCAGAAGTTCACGAGAGGCTCCGTGACAATTATGTCCGTTGGGCTTACGGCTATCCTCGCACCATACCCGGGTCCGCGGCCACGAAGACCGAAGACCTACACAAAGTTCCGATAGATTGGACCGTTGGCGCTGCGGGTCCCACTCAAGTTTTCTTTGAAAATGTTGTGATAGCGACCCGAGAGAGCATCCCGATCAAAACCCTTCCTGGCTTCCATTTTCCGTACGTTTCGCATCCGGAAGCATTTGCGAAATACGTTGTCGAAACGACTCGGAAGTACTTGTGAATGACAGAAATGACGAAGGTAGAATGCGGTGAGGCTAATCAGCGAGACCTAAGAGATTCGTAGTGGAGAAGTCATGATGACATGGTTCACTTTGAAAGGGCGGCGCCCATGGCATGGCAAAGCGTTTGAAAGCTGATCAGGGACCGTTGTAAGGCAGAAAGTGTGCAAAGCTCTGTCTCGCTTCTGTCGCTGGCTTGGACACTCGCTGGTAATGGCTGAACGGCTCTACCATTCGACAGCATAATCAAAGACAGCATCCTGCCATCCAAGACTGGACTTGGAAATCCTGCTAGTGGAGCCGATCTAGGCTGAAAATAGGACCATGGTTCTTGTGGCTTTCTGATTGTCGAGAAGTAGAGCAGCGGTAGCTGGAGCTACCTTGACACTGAAGTCGACTGGCTTCGGTTCTTTCCCGCCATTAAGAGCAAAATGCTTGTAATGAGCGGCCTTGTTGTGCTCCAGGCCGGCTTTTCCCCGAATGACCCATGTTTCTGTTTGTGCTATGTGTATGAAAGTGTCAGTGGCCTTCGAAAAACGATTATAAAAGATGGATTTCAAGGTCCTATGAAGACTCCATGTTGGCTTGTGAGCGCATGGATAAGGAACGTCCAAAGCGAGCATTGCCAAACGGCCAGAGCTAGATTTCGTTATACCGCTCCACTGCTCTCCCGCCACTCCGAAAGTTGGAGTGTGTCTCGCAATTTCTTGGCGCTATCTTGTAGGAGCTACGCAGACAGATGACAGTGGGCATAGCGGCAATCAGGGAGTCGGATAAGGAGTGGCACCTCCTGGCTGCGATGGGGACCATTTTTGCTCCAAACTGGCGACTGATTGAAATTGCGAGCCGACTGCCATTTTGAATATTCCGAGATTCCTGCCAAGAAACTTAAAAGGCATTGTTGACTTCCAAACTGTGGCCCCCGAGGCTCACTTATCCATCTACGTGTGTACAACCATCCAACGCCGCAAATGGCAAATGTCGTTGCGGATCCTGGGCCTGAAACACCCAGCGTCCGGCGGCGTTTGTTACGCTCAACGGACACGAGACGAAATTGCCCTTATTGCCCCCGAGTCTTCCAGAAAACAGACCACTACAACCGTCATCTCCGCTCGCATACGAATGAAAAGCCATTCGGCTGCAAGGAATGTCAGAAATTCTACTCTCGCTAGTGCGTCTCGATTTTATTGCCACACGGTGTGATACAGCTAATCGGTGAAGTGACTCGCTGTTGCGCCACCTTAGGACTCATAAAGTACCACGAAGGGGGAGAGAACACTCGTTCGTGATTGAGAGAGACACCGCCCACCAAAAGCACCATGATATCTTGCATTCAGCCAACGTTGAACAGGTCCAGCACGATTCCAGCATGGAGTTTTCTATTGCACCAGCAGTGGGATCTCATCTTGATCCGGGAGACACCAACTCCGGCCTGGCAATCGAGGGCCCCCGTGGGGAGTGTATCACGACACCTTCCCAATCTCAAGCTTTGGCCCGCGAAGGTATCCAGAAAGCGTCGAGCACTCTCTCGCTGCCCGTGCATATATCTACAGACGGAAATTTAGATGAACGATGTCTTTCGCTGCCAACGGCAGATATGCTAACAGCCCATGACTTTTCAATAAATGTCTCCCCTCTGGCTGATCACCTCCTGCATTTCGATGCCACAAACTGGCTTTTAGATGAGAATTTTGTCGATGTTGGGGGCGGGGATTTCAATTGGAATGAACCGCATGATATCCACGACCAGCCTTCTTCGGGCCTGTCACATTTGCCTTTCGCCAGGGAGAACAATAACTCTCCAGCTGTACTAGACCTGGGGCCGGTATGGTATGTTCAGGTCCATAGTACTGTCCATGATATTCCAGACGACAGTCACGGAGTAGGAAGGCAGGTCATTAATGCCATGAGGGGAGAGATCGACGAGATTTACCGCACAAATATGGACGAAGAACTCCGTGCACCGCTGCGTAACGACCCACTTCCATCAATTGATTTCCTGGTATTTCATCATTCCATGTGAGAGTTATTTATCTGACGAATTTCACAGAACCTATGTATTCATTTGTTCTTTACGCGCTCCAACATCGCATTACCTCTCATACATGGCCCAACCTTCAAACCGAGCGTAAACAATATTCTCGTCGTCCTAACCATGTGCTGCACGGGGGCCATGACCATGATGTCAGATAAGGCTACGCGGATAGGGTTGACACTTTTCGAACGCATAATCAAATCTGGGAATGGGCGCTCGTGGGAGAAACGACTCTCTGGAGAGCCGCACCTCATGCGAGAAACTATAAAAGGGGCAATAATCGGGCAGAACTTTGCAATATTGTCGTCCGACCCCGCCCACCGTACCATCGCGGATGCCTATCTTGGAAGCCTTATTTCGGTAAATCCCCCACACCTTTTGATGTCACAGACTAAATTTGCGTCTCAGCTTGGACGCCATGTAAAGCTTTTTGCTGAATTCCCTGAAGTCGATGTCCCGGACACGATCTCGCCAGAAGAACTTCTCAAAGCATGGAAGCAGTGGGTTCTTCATGAAGAGATGAAAAGGTAACAACTGCAGGACTTGTCATATCGCGCTATCTATCACTGACATTTACAAGGGCGGCGGTAACTTTGCATATCCATGATGCCGAGATTGCCGCTCTCTTCCACCACGAACCAATTTTTCGCCATCCAGCTCGTCGTCTGCCTATCATTGCGCCTGCAGACTTGTTCCGAGCGCCAACGGCGACGATATGGGCGACGAAGTACAGGGCATACCGGAAAAGCCAACAACAGCAAGCGGGATTACAGCCGAATGAAGCCAGCTTAGGCTCCCACGAGCGTGTCAGACCCCAGAACTGCGGGTTTGAAGGCAACATAAGCAACCCGTCAATGTTCAATTCTTGGGCCGCGCTATCCGGGATTGGTGCCTCTATCAGCGAATCTCGAGGCTTAAACCTGCTCTCGTCACAGCGCATCATTGATTTGGAAGCTGACCTTGTGAGGTGGTACAGCTCGAATACAAATTGCTGTAGGGCACAACATTGTTGGAAAGGCAAGCAGCCCGAACTTCCATTCTGCCTAAAGCCGCTTTGGCACCATACATTCATGACTCTGGCTGTGGATCTGGACCTTCTGGGATTGGCCTCAGGAAGGCAAGGAAGCAAAATCTCTGCTACCATACAAGCTCAGGTCGGAGCTTGGATCTCGTCCGCAGATTCAAAACGGTGCCTTCTCCACGCTCTGTGCTTGCAAACGTTGGTCGCGTCCACAACTATAGATTCTGCCGTCGCCAATCACACAGCAAGAATCCTGTTCTCGGTTGCTCTTTGTTGGTATTGTTATCTGCTCTACCTACCATGGTCCACAGCCTCTTCTCCTTCTAACGCATCCATGTCGCTTGACGAAACGTTCGAGTACTTGATGGGACTTCCAGAGTTTCGGCTCCTAAGGGAGGAAAGGTGCCCTTCGGGGCCATTTCCGAATATCCTCGGCCAGGCGATCTCGGATCTGAAAAGAATCCTCAGAGCAAATACTGCAGAGATGAAAGCCAGCACCTTATGTGTTCTCGAGTCGACTCTCCGACGCCTCGGAACAAATGGCATCTCGCGGCAATTCGCGGACATCATTCAAGCCTTCGTCACTGGGGAAACTCAATGAATTGTTTGAAAGTCTTCATTGATGTTTTGCACTCTGGGATTAAAGTCAGGAGCGTGGGAGGAATGGTTTGGTGAGATCCAATGCTTGCCTTAGTGATGCTGCCTTTCCACAGGGTCAAAGCTGTCTTCGACTTATATTGCTGGCATTGTCGCACGGAGCATTGTGAAAAACCAACATCGATCCAGACAAGTCTCTGAGGAACAGCTCGAAGACGCGGAGGACAAGGGCGGCCGCCGCGGCGATCCAAGCAGCAAATGCGGGATTGGTCCCTGGATATTCGATCATGACGAAGATTATGCCCCTGGGGCGCACTCCTATTGTCTCTGCTGTGGCAAAATATGTAAAATATAGAGCCATGAGGTTAAAACCGAATATATATGTGCTCCTTCGCTTCATGGGACTCGCTAAGCCCCTGCCACTGCCTGGGTTGCATGATCGTCCCCTTGCTCCGAGGGTCGAGAGCTCTCCATGGGGGAGGGCCTAGACATCCCAAAAGTTTGGAGCTACACCTGTTTCAGCTTACGTTTGTGTCCAGGATCTGCGGGCTATCTCGCAGCGGCTAGTCACCAGTATCTCTTGCAAAGCTGACCTGAATTGCGACCCGTAACAGCCGTTGGACACGAGCAAACCTTGAACGGACGATTCAATATACGAAGTCATTTAACTAAATGAGGCGTAGTGTCCAGCGTCGTCGTTTCAATGACCCTGGAGGTCTAGCCTCATCCCTCGGACAGCGAATAGTTGACCCGGGGTTTGGATCCCCAGAGTCACTCGGAAGGATAATGGAAAAAAAAATCTGTTTCGAAGCCTTGGGCATCCTGAACACACGGGAGACTATCCGGCCCCAATCGCGGTGCTGAATGAGGAGGAGATAGATACAACTACATTCCGCGAGGTCGAGAAGGCAGGATCACCGCCAGTGTAGCATCAAGCCTGGGTATCGTTGATCAGCAGCATCTAAAGCAAAACCCCCCTTCTCTGTTGACCCCAGGACTAGATCTACAGTGCTTATCAACTATCCGCGGGAAACAACGACAGCCGAAATACATCACCCACCGTATTCTGGAGAAGTCTCAGAATACGCGCTTAGATGTCCAATAAGTACCTCTCTGGGAATCTCAGAAGCTCGAGATTACCTGCATCTTGTAGGCGAGACTTCTATCATGCCTGTGTCAAACAAAACACTGACAAGGGACACGTACCCCTCCTATACCAACTCTAAGGACTGGGTCACTATCCTATGTCAACCCAGAAAGATAGGCTTCCATCGTCCTATTCCCAGATTTAGCCAATCTGACTCCTTTATCAGACATAACCCACGCCGATACGCAACTTCATCCACCGTATTGACCAGTAGAACGTCGAGATAGCGTCCTCCTACCCAAGCCTGGCCCTTGAAGGAAGATGTAAGCTTCGTTCCAATGACAATCAAAACTCCGGACTCATGCGAATGGGGATCCACTCCAGTCGGAATTTGGCTCCAGGCAGACATAATGTTCACGCCGTCAACGTGGACTTCGGCCTGCATTTTTGGAATCATTGAGATATTATCTCCACAGAGTGTCGACGTCCTTCCAATATAAGTCTGGCAGAACAACATCAGTCCAGGACCCAAGGATCCTGCCTTTTAGGGTCCCACTTGGAACATCTGAGGGAATGTGTGCCTCTGTCAAGACTGTCTCACCACTGACATTCCAACCCGGACTCTCCCAGAATGAGGTTGAAGATCTATTCTTCTGTTGGGATCACGTAAGCGGTTCTGGAGTCCTGTCATTAGTGATTAATAGAAGCAGAGATCGGAATAGTCAAACGCTCCGTCCTTGACTGAAGGATACCAAATTCTTCCCTCCCATCCGACTCAAGACCAGCTGGGAATATAGCAAGCCTCTATTCCCTCACGCTTATTTGTCAGGGAGTTTGTTGCTGCTCTGCGATGGTTGCGCATAGAAGGCGTATGGCGTTCACCAGAATAGGTTTCCCAAGCCAGTGCAGTTGAAAGAAACGGTATCGGCAACGCCCAAGTGAATCCGTAGTCGGAGATATACTCTAGACTGCTCAGCAGGCCGGAAATAGCGTTTAGTCCAGCTTCCGGAAAGGAAAGTCGAAGTCCCGAATAATGTGAAGCTATTTGCCTGTTGTAAGTGTTTGCAAAGTCGAATGGCCTAGTTCTCAGAACCCTGGACAACACGTGATGGCTTCAGGAATCGGAGTCCCCAACAGATGGGTGGTGAGAGCTTGGATGGTCAGACAGATTCTCTTTGAAGGTTTCCTCTTTCCAGGACGCCTTCTGACATTCCCAATAGATAAGACCTGCAGTGAAAATCAAGGCCTTTCTCGATAGAAGTCTTTCCTGTAAAGTCCAAGCTCTGGTGCTCCAAGCTGAATCAAGGGTGCAATCCGATTTACTGGAATACACTAGATCTGATGTCTTCACGAATGCGAAGTCTGACGTAGCGATAATTGTTGGATGGTGCTTCCTCGTGGAGGGTCTGACGCCGGGCAACTCTGCTATGCCAGTGCGCTGATAATCGTCAAATATGAGTGTCCGTGGATGGAGCTCATTCTCGGAATATAATATTGCTTGTCCTCTAAGCAATCTTGCAAAATATATAAGCTGTCAACCCAAAGATACTTTTCTCCTAGCAATCTTGTGACGGACATTGCATCACTCATGGTGGCAGATGTTGCGCCAACTAGCGAGCCGGGCTCGCGATACTTTTCAATGTTGTTCGTGGTGATGAAGAATTTGTTTGAATTGCCCCAAACGTAGCTAGGCGCAACCCATTGTTTGGCGGCACAGCTGTCCACGATACATTCATTGTTGACGTCAATAAGCCGCAGCCGCATGTGAGGATACGGAGGTGTTACGATCATCGTACAAGACTCTCCATGATGGTTGAAGCAATGGTCTTTCCAAGCACGGAGCAAGCGCTCGTCCAAGCGGTTGGGTCTGATCCGTCCCTCAAAAAGATGCGAGTCTTCAGTGCCCTCACAAAACAATCTTGAAGGTTCGCACGAGAGGATACCCTCATCAAAGCTACATTTCTGAATTTGGATTGTTTGTACTGTCGTTTTGGGACCCCTTGACGAAGAGGCCATGAATTGCAGTTCGGCAATCAGTCGATTCGGTATAGAGCGTCGGTCCCATTCTCTAGTCAATTCATGAGATCTCATCAATTCTGTATACAAGAATTGAAAATGATGATCCAGCACGCCAAAATCACGTTCTTGAGATTCAAGATCAGACTTTGGGCCTTCGCCGTCATCGTCCAAGGGTTCAAGCCCAACGTCTGAGAGCCAGGTGGATGCGTGCAGGGCTATCGTCAAGCACATAGAGCATATACGGCGTTCTCGAAGACATCGCGAAATGTCTGTGTCCGCCGACACCTGCATATTTCCAGAATGTCTATCGATGCCTCATTAGCCTTGAATTTTGCAACAGTGCGCTTCCCAAGATGTTGGAGCGGGAGTTTGGAGTAGAATTTGCACAATGGCATCGCTTAGAATAATCGACTTCGGGAAACATCGCACGAAGAACTTCGGTATCTGTTGTCGTTTGTGGGATTGAATTCTTTCCAAGGTGGATTGACGACCCAGCCAATCATATATACGATACAAACACCACAAAGGTCCCAATTCGGCTCTATTCAGACACTAGAGATGAAGGAGTGCTGCTCCCTTGTATACCTGTTGGGATGAACTCCAGGAGATTGTACACACATGGTGGAAGCTCTGAAATCTCCACCTCCTCAATGTTCGTGTCTTCAGTCCACCTGGCTCTTCTCTGTTCATGCACCCATGCTGAAAATTCTCGCAAAAACTTCAGGCCCCCAGGTTTGATTTGTTTGATTCGCATATTAGTATCGCGATCGGAATACTAAACACTTTTTAGAACTCTGCGACTTTGAAAGTGACGGGTTGTTTTTTAACCTCTTTTTAGAGCTCTATTATCCGGCTTGGTGTGGTTTTTCCTAGACAGATGTGAATCCTAACAAACTCTAAGTTTGGGCAAAGATCGACGCTGTCTGTCATCCAAAGTCTTTAAATTCCAGATGAATCGCTGGGAGAGGGGCGTTGACACGTACGGGTATATATTGGAGCTTACGCAAGCTCCAGCTCATAGTAACGACGATATATTTAAAGCCTTTTCGTTGTGAGGATGATACGTGTCAAGCCAAAACAGAACGAACGTGGCGGTTGTCTAGGCAAGTAAAGCTAGCAAGCTAACTTTTGTCTAAGGACAAGGATTGACAGCCCTGTCTCATGTTAGAGTGGGCAATGATACCAGTGGATTCCCAGGAAAGGAGGTGGCAGACTCCTCCACGGCCCATTGGTAATGGCTGCAAGCGCCCTTTTTCTGTTCGTTGTCAGGGCAAGCGCCCCAAGCGTCTACCCAACCAGACATTTACTGGAGCATTATGATTTATGATATCTCGTTTGAACTGTCAATTTTGACCTCCTCGTAGTGGCAGGACCCTGAAAGCTGAGATTGTCTGCAATTATCGGTCTGATAAATAGGGGTTGAAAGGAATGCCGTTGACGAACGACGTGCCATAAAGATTTCCTAGTCTAAAGCTACCACATTGACCACGAGTTGCTGCCTTATCACACGACCTTGAGGCTGCCTGAACGATGGGCGTTAGCTTCGAGGCTGCACCCAATTTGAGAATACTGATTTTTGTGTTGAGTTCATGCAGGATCTGTGGCGTCTCGCGTTTGGTCGACTTCAGCTGCAAGGGCCTTTAGAAATGCCTCATTCTGGGAACGATACGATGACAACATCCTCCACAGCCACAATTGATGGACTGTAACGAGCCGTGCGGAGTCTGGAACTTTGGTTTTGTTTTTCTTCACCATCTTTATCTTTCAGTTTCTCCTTTTTATTTCTGGAGCTGCCTTTTTCTAAGCTTCCTCAGCTCCTTACGAATTAGGAACTGGTCCCCGTTGCGAATATTGACAGTTTCATGACGCAAAATGGGCTTACAATACTCATCCAAAGTATGTGGCAGTTGGACATCCCTCGATTCGGGAGATTGACCGCAACAATACTTCAAGTTTTCTGTCAGAGTTTTGTATTTGGTCAGACGGCCGTTGATATCACCAAAGGAACTTGAGTAAAAGTACGGCATCCGGTAAGGACAGTATTAGCACTCAGCCTTTCCATAAGTAATTGACAACGAACTACAAGTGACATGAATCCAAGTGTCCCATGGCCCGTCGGCGCAATTCGCGCTGAAGAGTACCCGGGTGTGCACCTGTGTTTGAACTCAGATTGTCCCAAACACAGGATGACTCTCTGAACCTCAAAAGATTATCATCTTCATGGTATCCGAGAAAGTGACGAGATGTGGATTGAAGTAAGGGTTGGAGTATCCCTCGAATATAATTTCCGATATTTCTCGATTCCGGTGAAATTTTTCGTAGTAGCGCCTAATTCAGAGATCAATGAATATCCATTTACAATGTTGAAATGCTCATAAAGATCGACAATTTCTGCTCGATATCGAAATTAGCATCCATGATTTGTCATTTTGTATAAGCCGTTGTTTCCTACCTTGTTGATGGGAAGGTAAACCAAGATATGCTTGTGGTCCATGAGGTTTGGAAAAGTATGAGCTGCGCTTTGGCTAATTGGCCTCGATCCATGGGTAAAATACCACCATTTTACGTCTGCCCCAAGAGCGTCTTCCAACGCAAAGGCACTGAGTGAATCATATAGCGGGTCCCCGAACCAAGCAGCTTCCCAAGCCATCAATTTTTTGTCGGATAGAATGTCCGGGATGCCTTGAGCCCCAACAGCCATTTAACATCATCTCTCCTGTTTCTTTTGGGCGGCCAGATGCAGAAAGGTCTCCCCGCCTTTCCCTTTGCGTTAATTAGATCTGTTTGATAATGTTCTGCTGGGCCATGCGGTAGATGCATTTTCCGTTGAGTAGGATCGAGAATGACATGAGCCACGCCATATTGGCCGGAAGCATAGGAAAGATGTGCTGGAGTGCTCTTATCTCTGTCCCTCGCCATTATGTCTGCGCCGATACTGATGAGATATTCGACAACCTCGCCAGCACCGTTTCCAGCGGCTACATGGAGAGCAGTTTCTTGGTTATTGTTCTCCTAGTCGATAAATGTTTTAATCTTCCGAGACCGCAAATTTATTTGACCAACAGCTCGACAACATTGTTTTGATTGAAATATGACGCTACATGGAGAGCTTCATGAAGAGGAAACCAACCTCGTTGGGCGGCGGAGCGCAATTCCGGGTATGTTTTGAGCAGGTGAGTGACATCCGCAGTCATGCCGAACTCAGCAGCGATTTTGAGGGCATTTACCACAGCCACACTTGTATTTTTGATTAGAACTGTCGAGGCAGATGCCAGGGTCGAAACCAGGGATGTAGAATTCTCTCAAAACATTTCAAGGGGAGATGCCTGTACCTTCTTCAGGACCGGTAGCTTGAGATCCTTGCCCAGTGTCCTTATCGATCGTTTGAGGGCCTGAAGGTTCCACTGGATTTGGTTCCTGAGTTCCTGGAGGGGGTCCAGTATCTGTGTGATGTGGTTGTGCCATAGCATCAACGCGAGGCCGGCCGCCCAGAGAAACGAGCTTGGATCAAGCAAGCAGGGAAATAGCAATACATAATAAAACGTACAGAGTATTTGCCGTGTGGACGGAACTCTTAGCCAGCCGGAAATTCCAAGCACTAACCAACATGTGCTTCTCACTCAACCGTGGCAGCTTTTACCAATTCTCAGCCTAACAGCATTTCTATCTCAACGGCAGAAACGATACTAGTTCTAAATTTGGCCATCACTCCACGTTGTCTGCTGTGAATTAACATATTCTCCCAAATCCTACGATGCAACCGGTAATTGCTATCTCATGGGACTTCGAAGGGCACAAGCTGAATGAATTCAAACCCCCAAATTTCGGCAGCATTTGATTGAGCCAGTAGTTTTTGCCAGACTATGACTTGCGCCCGAGAACCCAGAAAATAAAAAGCCCCCAAGAGAAACTAGACCTTGCACCGTAAAACCTGGAACGGCCCGTACATAATTTGTACAGTAACCCCAACCACCCCTGCAACTGGCACGGGAAGCTTGTTCATCACAACGAGCTGCAGCTACCAATCAAGGGCACTCGTAGCCCCCAGGCAAAGAGCGGGGGTAAACCGTGCAGTAGTTCGTGCAGAATACAAGCGACGATGTTATCAAAATGAGGCTGGCGACGAGAATGCAGAACTTTTGCCAGCCGGGGCTATCACCACTTAAATCATGACAAGTCTTCAGGGTGGATGAACGGCTCCCAGAAGCAGTCTAGCCCAGTTAACTAGTCGTGGCATGTTACGGCTGAGGGCTAGAATGATAGTCACAGTCAGGCACCAAGACTTTGCTATCAAGAGACACTTCTCTGCTCATATTTGCCACTAAATCTGTCATCAGGGCAGTCGGCTTCGACGGATCTGATCAGTGTGCCATACATTCTGCATATCTCGACCCCAAACCCACTTGTATATCTCCAAGTATTGAGGCTGCTCACTTGCCTAACTAGGAACGACTCAGCCTTGTTTCCTGGATTTCTTCTCCCCTTAAACACCATAGCTGACCTTCCAGGCTCCACTATACCCGTTTGATTTATGTTCATAGCCCAAAGAATACGAGATGTTATCATGGTAGATATATTCCAATCATTATCTCTTCTACCTAGTATACAACCTTCTAAACCGGTCTCCCGACCCATCAATGCTCTGATTTCATCCTTTTCAAACTTGGGGAAGGAATGTCTCGGTCAAAATCGCAGTTGATCCCCGGTGCCCACAGGAAAGGCTCGTCCTTCAAGTTCAGACCTAAATTGACCTTGACCTTGCCAATTTGGCTGACGACGATGACCGGATAGATCTGGCCACGCACGTTCTGGAACCCGGCCTCCATCAACCTCTCTCCATTCAATGTCCAAAAGACCGTCCGCTTCTTCACGTCGACCCCACACCCGACTGTGTCACCATACCCGAACTTTCTCGCCGATCCCAGATCCTTGATTTTAGGAGGGTCTGCGACACACCATATCTTTCCGTCGTCGCCGTGGTAAGCCCAGCTCGAAGTACCGGGTTTTGGCCAACCCGGGAACCAGTGCTTCGTGGATCCAGTGGGCTTTTGAGTAATTCCCATCACAAAGATGGGATCGTCAAGCTTGACCTCGCGATCCGCAATCGACATTTCGAAGTAGTAACGTTCAGAGGATGCCGGTATGGGATGGTCGGTGATCAAGGCTTGATCTGTTGAGTAACACGTATCACTCGCATCCATCCACAATGGCACGAGCTCGCCGCGTTCCAGCAGCTCAACCTCCAGACCTGAAGGAGAACAGATGAGCACATCTGAAAAGCTCCCTACAAACTTAGAAGGCCGGATACCAGCCTTGAGCTTGGAGTTTTTGATCACTTCAACGACATCTGGTCTGTCATACTGCTCCGCCAGTTGGAGTACGTTCCAGCCATGTTCGTCCGTGGCGTAAGGATTGGCGCCATATTCCAGGAGTTTTGCCACAAGCTTGGGGCAATCATTGATGGCCAGCGTATGAAGCAGCTCGATCTCCGCGATGGCTGCCTGCTGATCGTGGTCAATCAATGCAGATATCGCTTTTTCGCGGTCCTCGTCAGGTTTTGTCCAGATCTTCGAGTAACACAGCTGCAGCGGTGTTTTGCCCTGCATATCCTTGCATTGACTATCTGCTCCACGTTTCAGCAAGGTCATTATCGCATCGGGACGGGCCCTCAGTGCTGCATAGTGCAAAGGCGACCAGCCCTTCTTGGACACAGTCACAAGAGCAGCCCGTGCGTCGACATGGTCAAGGATGAAGTCAATCACGCTCGAAAGTCCTCGAGACGCAGCTCGCATCAGCGGGGTCTTTCCCCAAGTATTTTGCCAGTTGAGAGGCTCAGTCTCTCCTTTCTCTACCATGACTCTCCCAAGGAGGAGAGCAGACTCGGTGTCGCCATATTTGCAAGCCATTCCGAATGGGGTTGCTCCCAGGTGATTTCGTTTGAGAGAATCCGCTCCTTGCTCAAGAAGGACCTTCACAACTTCCGTTTTGCCAGCCGTTGCAGCAACAAAGAGTGCTGTTTCGCCGCCGTCGCCCGGATCCTCAATGTCGGCACCGTGTTCAAGTAGCAATTTGACTCCCTCAGAATGTCCTGCCTGGGCAGCTTCGTACAGTGGTCTTTCCGATGCATCGTCTTCTGCATCGATCTCAGCGCCTCTCTCAATGAAATACTTCATAATATCAACGCGGCAAACATCCCGTCGGGCGAGAAAATGCATCGCAGTCTCCCCTCTCGCATTGCGGAGGTGAATATCTGCACCAGCCTCAACCAGTGCCACCCCTATCTCAAGATCAGCATCTCCCGCAGCGAAGAAATGCAAGGCAGCATTGCCAGTTTCGTCGAGGGTATTAATCTGAGCATTGTGCGCGAGGAACATCTCGAGCTGTGCCAAGGTGACCGCCCGACACCCGAGGAGAAAGTGAAAAGTCCTTCCCAGTAACTCGTCATCCCAATGGTTGTCGATGTTTGGGTCAGCGCCGGCATCTAACATGACCTGAAAGAACGCATCCATACTTTTTTCTGTGGTCAACTGAAAAATTACCGCAAAGCATAGAACGCTCATCCCTTCCGGCACCTTTAGGTTGACAAACTTTGAGGCGTTGGGTCGGGCCAAAAGTATTTGCGCCAAGCTGGTCAAGCCACAGCATGCGGCGAAAACTAGAGGATGTAATTCTTCGGTGTCATCGTACATCTCGATGGAGTCGATCGTCAGTTTCGCGGCGGACAACGATCGGATCCATCCTTTCCACGCCTCAGATTCTGGATCAAGAAATCTTTCGAGGAGTTCACGCAATCGACTCCATTGTTCGCCAGACCTCTCCTTGGCGGGATAGATATCTTCCAGCTGTGTCAAATGCCACCTCAGTCTTGAAATTTCGTACCGAGCCTGGTAGGAGGTATCTTGGTCTGCCTGAATGTCCCAAAGCCGAGCTCGATCCTGTTCTGTCAAGTCCACATTCTCATCACTGTCTACTACAGACTGGTCGTCCTTTGCTTCCGCCGTCGCAAGAGCATCGTTGCTGCTTTGACCTGCTTTCTCACTCGCTGGACCATCCTTTTCTTGTGCTTGGTTAGAATCATCGTTGCTTTCGGCAGACTTTGGATTTTGGTCGTCCGAAACGCCATTAGTCAACGATTCGCCATTGACAACGGACAGTGCTTGTGTTGCTTCCTCGTTGTCTTGTTTCGATGTTTGTTGCACACCATCGATATTCTCGGTCGTTAGCTCGTTAATGTTTTCATCCTGCACTTGAACACCGCTGCTCTCAATCTGTTCGTGTGAGGCTTCCGCTGGTGGTGCATCGTTTTCAGTTTGAACGTCATCGGTCGGGTTCTCTCCATCCAATTTCGCCTGATCATTTTCCTCTCCGTCCAATTCGTCCCTGCGCTTAGCGTAGTATTTGCGCTGAAATGACGGAGATAGCAGATGTTGAAGGATTGTGGTGGTGATTTGCATATGGCCTTCTCTTTCTGAAACCACAAATTTTCTGCTGCGTTTCAACTCTCTTTGGCACCTAGCACATTGGCATTCAGTCTCACCCACCGAGTTTGTGCTGTCGTCAGCGACGCTTTGTGGTTGCAGGAAAAAGTCTCGCACAGTGTTGTGAACTAGGCTGACCGTATGGTCAGCATTTACCCGAAGGAAGCCACTTCCAGCCTGTCTGATTTGCTCTTCGTAGAGTTCCGGATCCACGTTCTCCTCGTCGTGGTTGTCTTCTAAGTTACCTTCCTCGTCCAAAAAACTACCCTTATATCCATCGATGAGTTCCTGAACAGTCAATTCCTCTCCGGCAAGAGTAGTCCAGGTCAGGCAGTGGGTGAGCAGATCGTAGTACGCAGGGTTAGTCTGATTTAGACGTTGAGCATAAATGTTATCAACACCTGAAGGTAAGGACTCAAGATGTGCTGATAAAGGCCTCCGCCACGGTCTCCGCATAAAGTCCATTGCCAGCTCGACGTAACGGAAGTAGCATCCGGCCTTTTGGATGATTTCTCGACAAGCCTCTTCACGCTCTGCTGGAGTGAACCCAGGTAATTTGGCCATCTCGGCTTGGACATGCTCGGCGATATCTTTTGAATTATTCTCCTCCACACTGATTCTTGGACAACCCTCAAGCACAGCTGCTATATCAGGTTCGTCTCTGCTGCTACAGTAGATATTCACCTTCAAGCCCGGTGTACCGGCGAAGTTCTTGATTGTCTGGATGAATTCTTGTGTCTCTCTGTCGGCACACTCGTCCACAGCGTCTATCATGAGGTAGATTCGCTTATTGATGAGCTTGGCCAGGGCGATGTAGGTTTGTTCAAATCCAGCTTGACCCTCTGTCGCTTTCTTGGTAGTGGTTTTGGAGGTAGTGCTCTTCTTTTGGTGTTCGATATAATCCGAAACAGCCTTATTACACTTATCCAGGACATCCAACGATTGGGCCGCCTCACGGTAGAGTTGTGCAAGAAGATGGCGCTCGATTTGATCAGCCTGGGTGGTGGCTTGAGAGCCCCTCGATATGAAAAAGTAGTGGACGAGAGAGTCGTGTTTGTGGGCCTTGTTTTTGAGGTCTTCGATGGCAGCAGACATGAGGAAAGACTTTCCAGATCCACCAGTGCCGACCAGCCAGGTAACGTTACCACCTTCAGCGTTGACAAAGTCTTGAAATTTACTGTTTTCCAGAATCCAGCCACAAGTTCCTTCTTTGCGAGCAGCTAGTTTAGAATCTAGCACTTGTTGATTGTCCTCGAGGGATGGCAGTTCCTTCTTTTGCTTTTCCCAATTGGCATGGGTGATCTCGGCTGCAGTCATACGTTGGTCTCCTCTGTGAAGTTCGTCTCTCTTCATCAATTCCTCCATCAACTTGTTCTGCTTGGCGGCCTCCTCTTGCAATGCTTGTAGCATTTCCATTTGTTCCGATAAGCCTTTCATCATTGTTGCGTCGTTGTCCAGGCCTTTCTTCTGATAATACTGCGAGACTTGTTGGTTTGCCTGGGAGGCATATTTATTCATCTGGGCTTCGTTGTCTTTGATGGCTTTTATCTTGGGCTGGAACTTTCCTTGGGCGCTACGGAACAACCCCTTGATGACACGCACGCCGGTGTTGGATCGAGCATATTTCCACATTTGATATGAGAACTCGATGATGTTCACGTATGTATCCTGAATGTAACTCAACACCTTTTCATGAAGCTCGGTAAATTCAGGAGGACGGTCCCGGGTTGCATACAAGCGGCCATAAACTCGACAAGATATGAGGATTCCTAAGATATCTGCGCACGCTCCGGAGAAGAGGCTGAAGGTTGCAAAGTCATCTTGGACTGAATGAAGGCAGAGTCTGATACCGGTCCAGGCAAGGCCGACACTTTCAGGGGCTGACTTGATGGCGAGATCTCCCACTTTCATAAACTGGTCGACCTTGTCAAGAATGGCACCAAGTTTACCATTATACTCGGAGTTGGCTTCTTTTTGCGCCTGGACGACCGAACTCCGAGCTGATTCGGGTGTGGTATAGTCTTTGAGAAATGGCTGGAAGTTGGATGGATCATGATTTCCTGAAAATACTGCTCGTGCGGCATTCCAGGCCTCCTTTTCGAATGCTTCATCTCTGTTCTTGTCGTAATTGCTCATTGTGACTGATACGTATACTGACTTGTAATTATGTGCTCAATCAGACTGTCGTCGAGCGGTATATAGCGAGAATTGGTGATTATGGGAGCCTTGAAAACTGGTCACAAGGTTCGGTCAGCACCAGGTCTGCGTTGTCGTCAGGCTGACTTTCAAAAAATTCATGCTGCACACCCGAAAAAGACTACCTGGCAGGGATTAGTAATTGAAAAGCAGTTGAAAGCAGACTGATGTTTTGGAAAGCCTTTAAATGTCTTCTTATACCGAGCAAGCTGAACCGTGGGCTAATTGAATGCCGTGAACGTCCCAAAGGAATGCCATCTTACCCTTGACGCTCATGCTCTCGTAGATCGGTTGCCTTAAGTTGTTTTCGTGCATATTTCGAAGGACTGGCATGAAGACTAGGCAGCATCCGGCGCGTGGTGTGGTTTCTAGGAGAGTGTTCGAGGCAGCTAACCAGTAGCTCTTCAGCTTTAGAAAGTGTTTGCTCGCCTCCTGGTTTGGGGGCCGTTTCAGCCCACGAGCCCCGTAAAAAGCCCCTGATCATTCGGCAGCTGCAACAGGCGGAGCGTTACCGGTCAGCCTAGTAGTTCCATCGAGAAGCCGCCGAACAACGACCCTCCATAGTGCAGCCGAGAGTCCCAGTGCTGCATCCTCTTCGAGCTGCTGTGCTGCATAGCGAGCGGATGGATGCCGTACCTCCAACATGGTTCTCATCCAATTGATATAGGCGTGATGGTGTTGCTTTTGATCGCACGGGCTATTCCTGTCTAGTTATTAAGATGCACCTCGAAAAGCCCGAGAAAATAACTAATCATGCTGAACCTAGGAACAATGTCAAACCCCAGTAGGAACAACAAGGCTATCTCACAGTAGGACTTGGCGACAAATAGGTGAAGGAATCTCTAAGAACGCCACATAGCAGCGGAACGTCCTGAGGCTGAGATCCTGTTAACAGGGGTTGGCCGAAACCGGGTCTTCCCGAACTATGGAAACCGCCAAATCTGACACGAGCAGCATGAGGTAACACCAGAGGTCAAGTTGTGGGTCGCCATCAGGACTCATGGCTCTACTCACGCAGGTGCTTAAGGATGGTCAAAGGCGAGGAAGACGAGTTGGCTACTTGATGTGTAGTCAATTTCAATTGGGAGTTTGAGACGGAGATTGTTGCCATAAATGTGGCAATACCATGTTGCTCTTGCCTTATTGAGACACTTCTATACCTCTATCTTGGCCCGTATATTCATACAGTGAGCGCCTGGTCTTCTCAGGCACATCAAAGCATCTACCTCACAAAAGCGCAGTCGCTGTGCAAATGAAAAGCCGCGCTTGAGTCTGTCGTCCACGAATCCACATCATGAAAAGCAATCTTCTCACGGCGCGACGAACAAAGCAGCAGAAAGAAATCTGGAAGCCGAACCCAAAGAATTCAGCCTTCTAACTCCACCAGATCCCCGTTCCTCGAGTCATTCGGTGTAATTCCTCTCCTTCTCCTCCATTCCCAGACTCCTCGATCCACCTCTTCCTTGTCGACTCCGTCTGGCACCAAATAAAAGGTAACCCCCAGTTCTATTTCCACATTCCGATTCCTTCCTTCATCGTCAAAGAAGAGCATTTCGTCGAACGGTATCGTTCGTCCTCCTGGGCCATGACCATGTCCACCGACACCAGATGATGGCGGTGATTTTGAGAGTTGCGTTTGAAGACGACGGAAGTGTGTTGTTTTCGATCCCGGGTATATTTGTGGGTGGGTAAATAGGTCGATCGCCCTTGACGGCTTGCTTTCTCGCGTCTCCTTGGATTCATCCTGTGTTGGAGCAGGGACGTGGAGGCCTTTCAACATATCCCTTGCCAGGTCTGGCGCGTGAGTTCTACTCGCCAAGCTCATAACAATGCCTTTTTCCCGCGCCGCGGCCAGTATGTGAGGTACTTCGGAGTAGAATGAAAATGCCTCTCCCCAGCGGTCAATCATATGAGTATTTATCGTTCCAGGGGTTGAGGCCTGCGGTTTAACAGGAGCAGAAACGTGTGTGTCCACCCAGAAGGGCCAGAGCGTGTAGTCTAGGTCAAAGACTATTATCGTAGGGAGAGGAAGTGAGTCCGTGAATGTTGAGGGGATCGAGGATGGGTTGGATACGGGACGCTGGGATGAGCGCGATTTCGGCATTTTGAGGACTGGTGTGGGAGGAGACCGGGGGATGTGGATGGGAAGAACGAAGAGAAGAGAGAGATAAATGGCCAGAGGAAGAGGGCGTAGAAATGGAGAGGAAGGAAAAGCCAGCTTCGAGGACAAGAGAATCGATACTTCAATTGTCGGCCTTTGCGGTGGCAACGCAATCGTGGTGGGGGACTGCGACAAGGCTGAGAGGCAGCCTGGTGCCTGAGAGCATTGAGATCTCGACTTGGCCGGGCAAATCGGGCTAGTCTCGGCCGTAGCTTTATCGACAACAAATCCTTGCTTCCGTCCCGAGAGCCCCATGCTCCATCATCTGCAATTGTGACTGCAACTCCTGTCTCTTCCTCTAAAGATCTTCTTCTGGTCGAAGTCCGGGGACGATGGCGAGCCTTCCCTTACACTGGCCATGCTGATCAACCAATGCCTGCGCCTTCCATTCCGCGCAAGAATTGCGGCCTGTCAAGTCTGCCGCCTCACACTCAACTTTTCTGTTCAAAGGAACTTCAACAGTGATGCAGCTGCGGGACACAATGGCAATGGACCTGCTCCTACCGTGGCCATCGTTGGCTCTGGGCCTGCCGGCTTCTACACGGCCCAGAAGCTGTTGCGAGACATCCGGGGAACGAGGATAGACATGTACGAACAACTTCCTGTCCCTTTTGGACTCGTCAGGTTCGGAGTCGCTCCAGATCATCCAGAGGTAAAGGTCATACTTTCCCTCCTCGCCCCACGAAATGGTGCTCTGACATGTCTTCTAGAATGTCCAAGAGACCTTTCAAGCTATCGCTGAATCCCCTGACTTTACCTTCATCGGAAACGTCAATCTTGGCCACGATCTCCCGCTGCCGCTTCTCGCTAGACACTACGACGCAATTGTCTTTGCGTACGGCGCATCCAAAGACCGCAAAATCGGGCTGGAAGGGGAAGACAAGCCTCACATCTACTCCGCTCGCGCTTTTGTGGGCTGGTATAATGGTCTTCCCGAATACCGAGAACTTGGCCCTAATTTAACGGCCGGAGACACCGCCGTGATTGTTGGGCAAGGAAATGTGGCATTGGATGTGGCCAGAACACTGCTGAGCAGCGTTGATGTGCTGAGGCAGACCGATATCACTGAATATGCTTTGGATGCGCTTTCCGCTAGCAATATCAAGCATGTTCATGTGGTGGGTCGACGAGGTCCTATGCAGGCTGCATTCACAATCAAGGAAGTGCGGGAGCTTTTACACCTCGAAGATGTGAACTTTAGGTCTATACCAGACGAACTCTTCCCCCCCGACCTGTCAAAGTTGCCCCGCCCAAAAAGGCGCCTAATGGAACTTTTGAAGAAGGGTAGTCCGTTGAGGGAAAATGCGACAAAATCGTGGTCTTTGGACTTTCTACTTGCCCCAAAGTCACTGAAATGGTCTGATTCAAACCCCGAGAAACTGGAAGGGGTGGTGTTCTCAAAAACGAAACTCGAGAACCCGGCGGATCCAGAATCTAAAATCGGCACTACGAATGAAACACAGCTAATACCCACATCGACACTGTTCCGATCAATTGGATACAAAGCCGAGGCGATCCCTGGAATGGCAGAATTAGGCGTCGAATTCGACGAGCGGAAAGGAACGATTCGGCATGATGGATTTGGACGAGTCGTGCCTCTGGAGAACAACGAAGCATCGGGACACGAAGCGAGCATCTACTGTTCTGGCTGGGTGAAGCGTGGTCCAACGGGTGTGATCGCCAGTACCATGGCCGATGCTTTCCAAACTGCAGAAGCGATCGTGGAGGACTGGAAGAGGAGGGCGCAACACCTTGTAGGCTCTGCTGGGAGTCAAGATGGTTGGAAGGGCGTCCAGGCCGAGGCTGTTAGTTATAGCTTGCCACTCAGACCGATCCATTGGGACAGCTGGGAGAAAATCGACCAAGTGGAGAAGAAGATCGGGAAGCAAAAGGGGAAGCCGCGAGAGAAGCTTGGGAGTGTTAAGGAGATGTTGGCTGTGAGCGGCAAATAAAGTGGTAAGGGAAAGGCCGATTGGGAGTGCGTACGTCTCTCTCAGAGGCTCGCCGGTAGAGCAGAAAAGGGGCATCCCAGCCTAGTGCAGCTCAGGTTGGGCATCTATTCAACTGTACATTATTGACTGTTATATCCATCACCATTCCCTCTGAATCGCCCAAAAGTCTCAACTACCTAATAATATCTCAGTTCTCCGCTCCCCAAACGCGAGGCGGTTTAGTAGAATGTTTTGGTGGGAGGAAGGGGAGAGAGGGAGAATCAAAAGGATGTGGACGTAATATCAGTCGCGTGATTCAGAATACCAAGTGTCTGCTGCCCCTTTGCAAGATAGCTTTCATCCGTGTCCCGCGATCGTCCTCGAGGGAAAAGTTGCAGGGCTCGGATGCAAGAGAAAAGCAACCTGAGGAACAGGAAACTCGTCTCGGGGGATAGAATTCCATCTTCCGTCATGTTCGATTTGAACGGACGTAAGGCGTCCATTCAGATTTCTTCCCAAAACTATCATGTGTCATTGCCATTGACTTAGAGCTCCGGTGAGTGCCATTTAGCCTCAGCTCTTTCTGCATCCAATATACTTTGGACATCCATCTTTTTCGTGACATCGTCATTGAGGTACTTCAGTCCCTCCATAGCCCGACCGTTACACGCTTGTCCCAGTGTCAAAAATGCGAAATGTCCTCCAACAACGGGCCTCGCGAAAAAATTTGGTCCGGGAAATTCTCCTCTCCCTTCTGTCATGTGTAGGTCGGTAAACGGTCGATCTGTCACTGTCTCATTCACCCATTGCGCGACGGATTGCAAGATATTGGCGCGGACTTTCGGGGCCGCGACAGCCATCGCAAAAAATTCCCAGTCCGTCTTAGTATATAGATGTCGCGAGTCGAGAGGCAAACCGTATTTCTGACGTACGGCATAGTACCAATCGCTCTGCATCTGATATATGTGTTTCGGCACGAATCCATCTTTGTCCCCGGGAATGTGGTTTTTGAGGGGTTTCTGATATTCATAACGCCCGGCAATGGAGGTCTTTGTTGTCGACGAATTGTCTGAACCCAAGTGGAAACAGAGCAAACTGTCCGCGTACAGATTGTACGTGGTAGTCCAGGAGCCATACCAGTTGTAGGCGACCTTAGCATGTGTCTTATCTCGAGAAATACCATATTCTTCCCACTTTTCAATATAGACTTTAGAGATATTGTTAAACACTTTGGCATCTTCGTAATTATCCGTGAGGTCTGCGAGCCCAGCCATGGCTTTGATGCCAATAATGCCTTTTAGAGCCAGGTTTGTCTGCAAGGCCAGCCAGCCAGCAAAGTCGTCGGTTGATAGCTGATTGTGAGGTAGCAGAGAAAACTCAACCAGGTAACTTGTCCACTGTTTCCACAACCGATAGCTTCTGCGCACCCACTTTTGGGCGCGCTTCACACTCTCAGGTCGACCCACCCAAGTGTCATCAATGTATAGAATGCCACCTTCCTTACCTACCGACAAAGGCGCAAGGCTATCAGACGAGGGGATCGGGCTGGGGACACCACCCATCGGCTGCCACGTGGCGGAAGCAGTCCAGCCCGCATCATTCTTCAAAGCATTAGCTAATGCCAGTCCCATGATGAGGATGTTTCCACACTCCTCTACTGGCATGTACTCATCTTGTCCGAGCGGGTGGCCAGTGGCATTTGGGAAATGAAAACCAAGGTCATGCATTGCATATTTATTCGGATATTGTCCACTCAGCATGTGCTCAATTAGCGGTTCGAGCAGATAGCCCAGCCATCGCGCATTCGTGTACAGAAAGAACGGAAAGGCGGGGAATATAACGTCAATGGTTTGGAAATTTCCGTTGGAAGAGATTTCTTTTAAGAAGAGGATCGGATCATCTGGTGTGCCTGAGAAGCTGGTGGCTCCCAGGACCTGACGAGCCGAAAGAGCAACGATGTCGACGTAGTCCTCGGCACCGGACCGGAATGCGTCAATGGCCAACTGCGCCGAGTAGTTGGCCGCTAATAGGCTTGCATGGTCAAAATCGAGGTAGTGGAAGGTGAGCAATTCTTGGACAGTTGGGAAGTAGGATTCCCACAAGGGGCGCATGTAAGTAAGCCCTCGCGCCGCGGCAAACTGGACAACGGGATCTTGAACGTGGGCAATCGTAAATGTGATGCTCTGGTCTGCGGATTGGGTGCTGTTGAGGTCAAAAGACTTGGAGAATGCGAAGACAGGTTCCTCGTCCATGATAGGCCGGAAGTCGTGGTCGATCTTGTCTTGCAAATTCCCGTGCCGGGCAAATTGTTGCCTCAACTGAGCCGAGACACCGGCCTCATGTCGCACGTCAGAGGGTGCAGAGAAATAAAGCGTACCCCATTCAGCACGATCTTGAAATTCGGTGAAGAGCTGTTCCACTGCCCTCTGGACCTTCCAGGTCTTGAAACCGTGAGACATACCCTCCAGAGCTGTATGATCAAGGCCCCAGACTATCTTGCTTCCCCGGTCACCGCTGACCCATTGACCGTTGAGGTCAATATAGATATCCACAGGGACATTGCCCGAAACGTAAACAGTGACATAGCTCGCAGGGATAGATTGTCTGACAGTCGATGTGGGAGTTATAGGAGACAAAAAGGAGATGGTGATATCAATTTGGCTAGATTCGGGGTAGAGTGTAGGAAGCGGTAGGGTGTAGGACAGATTCGTAGTCGAGGCATCATACACAGCACCACGATAGAGTGGCGAGGAGATAGTATAGCTGCAAAGAGATCAGTTTCGAACCACCAAACAGAAAGCTAAAATATTTACTTGTCATCGTCTTTCCTGAGCGAGTCGTGGGGTCTTCCCAGCAGAGGATATGCGGTCCTTTTCTGTGGGACACTGGCGAGGATAGAGAAGCCAATTTCTTGACCGGTCCAAAACATAGGCCATTTCTCCCATGGTACATCTCTTGCGTTAGCCAGCCAGGTGCTGAGATAAGGGTTGCGCACGATCAGAGGCAGCACCGGGGGAGTCAGACGTGAGCACTCGACATGGAAGGGCAATGCGACGGCCAGGACCGCCAATGCGGAAACCAGCCGCATGACGGGAAGCAAAGGATGGACTCGGTCAGAAGCTCAACTCAAGGACAGAAGGCATGAGAGTGTGAGAGGGAGAGAGCCACACACACATACAAACACAATACCGATACACACAAGGAGGAGAGAGAAAATCCGGGGAATTGGAAAGGTGCAAGAGGTGGAAGGAAGGAGGATGAGCAGAAGCTGCGACGATGGTCAGCCGACCAATCTGCCTCCGCCTGCGCCTGCACCTGCAACATAAGTCACCACCACACAAAACCATCCCAACCACCAGCTTTCTGTCGAGATTCTCCGATCACGCAATAACAATGACGGCATCTGATCACTGTCAGCAAAGACACCAGAGATGCTTGTGACCTTCTTCCTTCGATGCTCCTCCATTCCTCACCTTCGCCGCCAATTCCCCCCCCATCGCCGTCTCGCACTATACCTGTTCCTGTCATGCCCCGAATCTTCTTTGCTCGCCAGTGATGCTGCACATCGGGAAGCTGGGGTGAGACGAAGAGGGTGTTAGCGGGGAAACTCTGTCAGTGAACCCCTCCCGCTTTGGCGCGAGGACGTGCGGTGTGGGTTGCTCGAGCCTTGCCATGTCGCCAATAGCAAGGCCTCTCCCACGCCTGCGGCGGGCCTCTACAAGCCTCTATCGGAAAAAAAAAAACTCGACCAAAATCGATGCCACACTTTGTCACGGCGGGGTTCTGATTGGCTGAAGACCTCTACATTGATGCGAAGTTTCGGATGATTTGCCTACTGCGAGTCGGTGTCGAGGCCGTCAATATATAAGTACTCATATATTCATCTCTGGTGTATCTTAGCCCATTTCTCTCTCCCGATTTCTTGTTTTCTTCACAAGCAGCGGTCGTCTTCAAAGAGCTCGCGTTACCCAGTACATCTAATCTTTAATTCAACCTACTCCTTCGATGGATGTCCAAAACAAAGAGGCCGTGCTGGCCCCAGAATTATCCCCCTCTCTCACGCCCCGAGATGTCGAGCAACAGCCCGGTAACGAACCACCGTCCGATGTTCACACCTCTGCCTTCAAGAGCCTCGGCATCCTCGATCAGTTCCTTGCGCTGTGGATCTTTTTGGCCATGCTTACCGGGATTCTGCTGGGAAATTTCGTCCCCAGCACTGGCCCTGCGCTCCAGCGAGGTGAATTCGTCGGCGTTTCAATTCCAATAGGTACGCCGGCACGGTCTGAGAGAAATCCATGGGACATTGACATCTAACCGTAAAGTCAGCGATCGGGTTGCTGGTCATGATGTATCCCATCCTGTGCAAGGTCAGGTTCGAAACTTTACATCACTCCTTTCGCGAAAGAAACCTCTGGGTGCAGGTGGCTTTCAGCGTCTTTGTGAATTGGATAATAGCACCTCTCGTCATGGTAAGCCTCGAATTGTTGACCGGTCTGATTCCAAATACTGACAGAATTAAGCTGGGTCTGGCGTGGGCTTTCCTGCCGGACGAACCCGCCCTCCGCGATGGGCTCATCCTAGTCGGTATCGCGAGATGCATTGCTATGGTTCTGATATGGACTGGTCTGGCTGGTGGCGACAATGAGTACTGTGCCATCTTGGTTGCTATCAATTCTCTCCTACAGATGGTCCTCTTCGCCCCACTAGCCCTTCTTTTCATCAACGTTATCAGTCACTCTTCCGATGGCGTCACTGTCGACTATGCTCCCGTCGCGAAGAGCGTTGGTGTCTTCCTTGGAATACCATTGGGCGCTGCCATCGTCACCCGATTTAGCCTTCGCAACCTCGTGGGCAAAGACTGGTACGAAAAGCGATTCCTGAAATGGATTGGTCCACTGTCATTGATAGGCCTGCTCTTTACCATCATTGTCCTATTCGGATCCCAAGGTCGTCGTGTGGTCCACCAGATTGTATCTGTCGTGAGGGTTGCGGCTCCACTCATTGTGTACTTTGCAGTCATA